CCCTGTGATAATGCTGCGATCTATTGAATTTTCCTACAAGTATTTTTCGGTGCATTTAGCCTTAACTTGCAAGTGACAAATAATTATTATATAACATTTTTTTCTAGGAACGGACGCCAATTTTACTCGTTACCTGTCTCCGTACCAACTCACGGATTTTAAAAGTGAAATACGAACTACAACAAACTAGTGCATTTACGTAAGCATGTACAACGAATACCTGCAAATAAAAAGGTGTCATATTTACAAATTATACTTTAATTATGTAATTTGCTCGGGCACACCGTAAAGCTTTGCTACGCGTGTCCAATTTCATGACGACGCTACGACCTTCTTCGCAATATTCATTATAGTACGTCCGCCAAACGCATTTCCAAAGTAACTCTGAAACTGCGGACTGCATGATTTTTATAAATCATCGCATAGGCCCCTTATCCAAAACAATTTTATTAAAAACTAAACAAAACAATAAATATATGGTATTATAATTCTGGCTAGGCAATAGTACAATGTTCTAAACTCTTTCAATTTCTACTAACCTCACACAATTCATTGATATTGTGCTGTACTTCTATCGTCGTACGAGTGGCAAAACGACCTATCATAATTTAAAATGTAAGATTGGCATCAGGTTTTAACAAATAAAGTAGATACGTATATCTTGAAGATTCCCCGTACGTAAACTTCAGCTCAAATTATCTCACCGCCAGAGAAATCAGTAAAATATGGTAATGCCCGGGCCCCCGACCGTTCTTTAAAGAAATATTTAATACTAAGTTTTTCAAAAAATAAAATAAAAAGGGGGAAATTATGTATGATTTAACTATAAGCAAAGAATTTTCATAAGGCGAGATGTGTCGTGCATCATTGGATAATATTAATAATACGGAATATACGCTGGTTGATGCGTTTCAATTTTATATTGTACAATTCAGTAAATAATTAAACTATTTCATTAGAAGACTTTTTCAATATTTACTTATACGTACATGTTCAATTTTTTGTTGGAATGATGTAAAATTGAAACAATGAGAAATACTCTCAATTTTTCTAAAATACAAATTACAATGTGAATTAATAGGATTTTATTTATATTTCAGCATCAAAATGGGGGAGGGCGGGACGATGAAAGTAAAAGTAGGGGGTCAAAAAATATTAATCTAGGCTCATGGGCCCCCAACGCGGTTGAAACGGCTCTGCTCACCGGCACTCAAATATAGAATATCATAAAATTAAAAGAAGTTATGATTTGACATTGTATAATCATTTGAGAAAAATATATTGCAACACCTAAAATCGACGTGCGAATTACTTTAAGTTTTTTATGTTCAAGTGAACAAATGAAAAATCATGATATTCAATAGTTTAAAAATATGAGTCTCTGTACTATGTATTATTTTCCAAATCTTAGAAACGGTGCATTTAACTTCATAATTTCAATTTATTTCAAAAACTACATTATAGCTTTTACAAACAAACAAAATCGGTAAAGATAATAGTATCACTGTTAAAAAAAACTGATTTACCCTCATACAGGAATTGAGTTACCTATATCTGTCACGGAGTGTTAGATCCTTTCACGCTCACTAGTCGAGACAATAGGGTGCCTGCACACGAGCGTTGCGTTGACGCGCGTCGTAGAATAAAACTCTATCTAATGAGAAAAGGCACACAAGCACTTGGCCGTTCCGCCTAAGATACATTGTTTATCTATGACGCGCGTTACTTTTCGCGCGTCAACGCTCGTTTGACACAGGTGTTGCGATGACATTTAAGCATTGTGGTGTTGGGGAACTGCTTTTTTTCCATCCATCCCGAAGATTCCTATGTTTCTTAACTATTTTTTTTTTAAGCAGCTAAAATGTGTTTTGGGTTTGATTCCTCAGGGTAAGACATCTGTTGGCACAATTCTTAACCAGTCTCCGTTACGATATTGTAGAAGAATACTAGAAAAACATTTTTTTTTAAATATTTTATAGTATGTAGTATTGCGAGATGCACACGACTTGTAAACCATGGTATCAGGGGAGATAAGCAAGAGAGTTATTTGATGTAAGAAGGAAATGACATATTAAGACGACGGAGAGCAATAATGAATCATTTTAGTACTATAATAAATAAGATGTTATAACAATAATGAAATACTAATTCATCGATGCCAAAAGGAAGTAGCAAACAGTATCATCAGCAAGATAAGTATTTATAATAAGAAGTCAATGCAACTACAAGTACATTAAGGAAATTCTGAGAATTACTATTCTCTTTCCAGAGTTTACATGAATCATTAGGAGTTAAAACTCCTCTGACTGACATTAATTACCTACTTCTGAAAAGGAACAAAAAGTTAATGAATTATTTTGAGCAATACATTGGCTTGTACATTTCTATGCTTGAAAATGGATGAACCAGGCTGGAACGTTTAAAATTGATTTTTAATATAAACTTTGTAACATTAAAATATTTATGAAAAGCACAATGCTAAGGTAGTAGAAAGTACTTCGGCTGAAAGAGGTTTAAATTTTCCACTTATCTAAACTGAGATATGTTGCAAGGAAAACCATTTGAAAAATATATCAGTTCTGAGAGTAGTCAGATCTAGTAATATTATTAAAGAGTAAACATGGTTCTTGATACAGTTCCAATTCATTGATACAGAATATTATTAAACAAATAAAGACTAGATTTGGATAATAGAAAAAGAAAGCTCAAACTCACACCTAAAAGGACATTCCATTATAAGTGGGGCTTCTTGGATTTAGTGTAACTAAAATTTTGCTCAGACATCAAGGAAAGATTTCATGAAATATTTTTTTATTTTTATATATTTCACTTCAAACTATTAAAGACCTGGAAATACTGAAGCAATTTTGATTTGGAACTGCCATATAAGATTCTATTAAAAATATGTTATGAACATACACAACCAAAGAAATTAGTTTGAAACTGGAAAGACACAGTTGCACTGCGTGCATCAGACAATTACATTTTATATCTAATTTTCAAAATTATTCCACCACTGAAGAAATAACTGTCATGTATAATATAAAGGCAGAGAGAGAGCAGTCTCTGTATGAATACATGGTCATTAACATCTTGACAACTGATTACTGCAAGATGTGGCGATGGCGAGGTATTGGAAGTTGCAGAATCATTACTAGAGATTCATAAATTCTTACTAATCCTAGAAGTTCAAAATATTAAGTACATTTCACGTTGTTTGTTTATTCATTGAATTAACTGCATGACTGTAATTTACAAGTTAATAATCTGTAAATGTAGCACCTCATTAATTATTAAAATTTTTAAGTTACTTTGTGTAATTCCATATAATTTATCTCACATTTCAGATCTGCAATTCCAGTAACATTTTGATTCCCCTTAACGTGAAGCTTTTTGAAGAAACGTCAGCATGGTTCAAATAACCATAGACATAATTCCAGTTTTGTTTCTTTCAATGCACTCCTGTCACCTTAATTAATATTTTATTATCGATTAAGATTGCAATCCCATTTAATTATTAGCAATAATATTATTGCTATTGAATTGCTTTTTATGAGTTACTAGTTGAAAACACATGTGGCCAGCTGTCTTTGCGCAAATCCTAAATGCACTATAACTTTGAAAAATATAGTAATGAATTTTTTTTTATATTTTGAAATAAAATCCATTTGACGTTTTTCTTTCTTAGCGTGAAAATAAGAATTCCATAAAATATTTTAATGGTTTAACATAAATCTATCACAGAACATTTTTTTACTGCAGTTATCGACAAATTTTAAAAATAGCCATCAAAATTTCTTAATTAAGCGAAGTTTTATCATATTGATATAAACACTGTAGGTCTGTTTAAGAATCATTTCCTTAAGGAAAATATGCTTGTAATCCAAAATTTCTCACCTGATGATTGAACAATTGTGTGAGGTGACATGCACAAACATGCACACATAAGGCTAAAAACCTTCACCCACATATACCACAACCACAACTCGCAATCGACACTCACAACTCACTCGTTTAGTTTCTTAACATTCAATTAGTCTCACAGGGTCATCATGACCCTGAACTCTTCTTTTATTGAAATCCTGGATATTGTAAGAGTTGAAAGATTGATCTTCCCAATATCTTTTTTCTCCAAAGTTCTCTTAGGTCAGTTATCTGCATGTTTCCATGCCCACATACACCAGTGCACTTGATAATCCCTTATAAGTGTGAATCAAATGTTTTAAAGTATGCTGCACTTAACAATGTCTTAAATTTTAAAAATCTTTTCATTTCTTAGGTTTAAAAAATTCAGACAGAAAAACATGCATGAAAAACACACTTTGTAAGATTGCAGCATTCAAAAAATATTTCCAGCAATTGATGGGTAAGGGCACCACTTTTTGAACTATCAGAAATAAGGATTTTGTTGCAAAATAGGGAATTTTTAAATTTCTGCATATATTTTGTAAATCAATGTGTGTATAGTTGAAAAGTTTATGTTAATTTATTATTTTAAATATGATTTTATTGCTGAAACCAGAGACTTCACGTGACTATGTATGCAGAATTTAGTCACAACTAACTGAAGGTTAATATCAATCTGCAAGTAAAAAATATTGCTCATAAATTATATACCAAGTCAATACTTCTTTCAGAAGACTGAAAACTATCACAAGAACACAAACCTTGGTGGGTGTGCTTAGTCCATAGTGCAGAAGATCAGCACTGGACATGTCTCGTTGGCTTAATTTCATGCACTTTAATTTGAGTGGTATTACATTTTCATCAAATGTTTGGAAAATCTTAACCTGCATTTGTTAAACATTTTATTGAAACAAACCAATGCTCTTTTTCAACATTTTGCAATTTAACTGATTAATAAACAAATCTATAAATAGCAACGTAGTGTTTACTTCGACAATAGTAATTACACAGTATCAGTTCAATCTTCAGCTACAAGCTGAATTTAAGCATAGATATTTAAACATAAATTAGCACTTCGTAACTTAAAGTTTGCTCTCTTCACTCTACTATGTTCCATATTCATTATGGCACTTTCATCCTCACAAAACTGGTAATTACAGGAATCAAAATGTTGTCATTGCTTCATCTAAAATTCAATTCAAAACTGTGGATACTACTTCCTTTCAATAATGTATCTATTGTTATCACAGCAAAATTCTAATTTGGTAGCAGACATACCTGAAATAGTATTACACTTCAAACCTATGAAATCCTCACAAAATGAGAAGCCAAGAGTGTCATTAGTGAAAATTATAATGTAAAACATTGTATTACCACACATCAGAATATTTTAACAATCACAGGTTTTTAATTCATTGTGCTGTAGATTCATTCAGCTCTCAAGCAATTCAAGATCTCTACATAAACATTGCACTCGATGATATAATGGCAAAATATATCACAATATACAAACAGATCTATCAAACCAATTTTTTTAAAAGTACATTTGAAAAAACTATTCACCTTAAGTACCTACAATTGCAACAAAAATCCATGTTATGTAGGAAAAACCTTACTCCTTTCCAATAATATTTTGTTCAATATGAAGTTCTAAAGCTTTTTTTTTTCCTGTAAATTTTAAAATGTATTTTTCATGAATATGATTTCATGTTCCAAAATAATGGCAATTCCTATACAAGTAGTAAAACATGATACACAAAAACATCACCCAAAAATTTTAAAATAAATCATAAAAATTGTGTTAGAATCATAAATGCAATGAATATACATCTTAAATTTCACTTGAATAATTTACATTAGTGTAATAGTTCAATATACACCCATTTCTTTAGATTTTAACCAAGAACCTCATCATTTCTATAATTTTCTTCCATGTTGAAATCTCAAAATTCACTTTTAAATGTTCCAATCACTATAATGCACCATCTTCATGGTTTTGAACACAAGTCCTTTCAACTCTCTGTGCGGTACATATGGTCTGGATTCACTATCACTTGTACAACATAACCTGGGGATATTTTTGCTTCTTCAATGCGTAATTTATCTCCCAATAATTTGCCCCCAAAAAACCACCTTTGACGAGATGGCTCCAAACCTTCTTGACTCTGAAAAGAGAGAAAAAGAAAACAGCAGCCATTATATATTTTGGCATAGGCCTACTGACATTAAAAATGGGCTATAAAATCATACTAACTTGCAATTTTTTCTTAGCCATTCCGATTGTGTCTTTACTAGACACAGTTAATTTTATATCAACACAATTAGAAGAGAGGCGTAATTTAAGCACCATTTCTGTGCCCCCTTCAACTGGTTCTAAAAAGTTATTAATTTTGTACATTAGTAGCTATCTAATATGAACTATATTTCAAAAAATGTATTTTCACACATAGATCTGAAACAAACCTGAACACTCAGCAGGTGAATCTCTTCCATTATCTTCCTTAACAATATTAATCGGATATGATAAACAATATACAGGCACTTGATAACGGGTGCCAAGTTCATCATAGCATTCAGTCAGGAATCCTTAACAAGGAAATTTTAATTAATTTATGAACATTATAGTTATACTTATTAATTAACTTACACTATTTGAATACTAACATGTGAACACAATCGAAGGACATGGATTGTGAACCATTTTTCAACTAACACATCCCATGAACTTTTCCTAACAATTTATATTAAGAAATTAATACCAGACAAGAAGTCCTTTTCAACAATTTTTAATAACTTGAACAAATTCTAATAGTGACACTACTACAATCTATTTACCAATAAAAGTAATATAAATCTATAATAAAAATATTATTCATTCTACATCACAAGGAGCTACAGGAAACAATTTTTACCATTAGGAACTGATATGTTTGCTCCATCCAATATAGCTTGTGCCAGCTCAAAATCCAGAGATTCAGATGCTACCGCAGCTGCACGCAACGCATCCCAAATTTCTTTCCGCCCATCAAATGCTGGTGCAGTGTCCCAGAATTCATCTCTTTTACTGCGCAATTGTCCTTCTGTCAATGGCACATCAGACTTCCATCGAATTGTTTCATGGCACAATGGATGGTTTTTTCGTGCATTGCCTACAATCAAGAATTAAAAAGAAATAAATAACTGCATACGCATGCTTTTTAACCTGCATAGAGTCAATTTTAAGGTCTTGACATTAAAAATAATATAAAAATTGAAAAAGACAAACATATTCACAATGAGATTTTATTGGAACTTGAACTTTAATAACAGTGTAATTTTAAAAAAATCTCATTGAAAAATTGGCATACTTAGAAAGCAATAACGTTATATAAACATTGTAAACAAATTACACAAGCATTATGAACGACACAATGTTTTTTATTAATACATTTTGGGGTTCTAGGCCCCACAAAGGGGGTTCTGACTTTTATTCTTTTAATTTAACCATCACAATATGGATGATGGGTATTTATACCAATTCTTGTTTAGATGAACCAACACATTTGCACTTAATTTATCGATTGACTTGAGCAGGGACAAATATACATCAATGATTCTAACAAATGAACTGTTATTGAAATTCACAATATGTTACAATAAGTTACACGCAATACATTTTATCTTTGCAATTTTTTCACATGCAGAAAGGCAAGTCTTTACAGTTGTAAAAATTCATAATTCTAATAAAATTTCTCCAAAATTACAATTACAAAAGAGAATTATCTTTCAAAAACAATAAATCTCAAGGAAATAAACCATGCTTGAAAAATTAGTTCTAAAGCTAATTAATGTTTATGTAATTTCTTTTAACTCTATCTGAAATGAAACTACCGTGATTTTCAATTAGTATGCAAACAATATTAAAACAAGGGACACTTATTCTAGTATATTGTTAAAATCACTTTCAATTAAAGGAACTATATTTCCCTTCAGAACTTTTTAAGGAGTTTGACTTAATATTTCAAAGTCCAAAATCCCAAACACATAATGCTCTATTGCAATATTTTTGGGAGAAAGTTTATCTAATATTGGTACATCTTTCACACAATTCACACGTTCAAGAGGTCACAACTAAATAAAATGTCATGAATTTTGGAATCGGTATTTCTGCCACATCGGTTCAGGGAGGTAATCAAAAATCTTACCTGTATTGGGTCTCGTTATGTTCCCTGGTGTATCTACTGGACCATCATTTCTAGATCTACTAACACCTATGCACCCGCCCATTCTGAATACCTCGGTCTTAGCGGCATTTCAGCAATATTTATCAGCATTTTACATGCTCCCGGGTCCATTTTTCAATCATCCTTTAACTCCCCGTGACTCCATAGATAAAATTTCAAACGCCACTACAGACTGCAATGCACCTTGGCACAGGACATGGGTGCCATCAGCAAAACCGAGTATAACCCATCTGCGCCAGACGATCACTGTCATCAAAAAGTTCCCTAGAGCTTACAACAAAGTAAATGTGTTCTCTGTGACGGAATATTTCTACCAAGAAGGAAAAGAGGGATTTTTAAGAAAGGTTAAGATTAGTAAAGTAATCAGAATGGGCAATTAAAACGAGAAAGGGAATTATTTAATTTTCCAAAATAATGATTTATTACCATATTATCATCAAAAGAAACAAAACTGAAAGAAAAAAACGTTAGAAGGTAATTGAAAACAAAGAAATTTATCTCACGAAAACTTCGATTTCCAATCATCATTTTGATAATTCTTACAATTGTCTTTTTACACTCGTACTTCTAAACTGTACCTATGTGTGTGCTGAATAAACATCTTAATTTATATTATGATTAGATTTGATAGTTATACCGTTTCAACTCCACCATTTTCAATGAAACTCCATCTCAGCCCCCGGTTTTGTTTCCCCAATGCCCTAGGGTATTGCCCAAAGCTTACGCATAGTGAGTGCCGTATCTAGCCCAGGGCCAGAGGAGACGCGACCAGACGCGACATTGTAGATTGTTTTGGTGAAAAAATAAACTACAAGCAGTGAGGATTGGAGGGAGAGTCCGGCTAGGCTGGTATACACTACCTTTTTTTTAAAAAAAAACCTATTATTTTGAAAATATCGACTTTGATCATTTTCAACAACTTTAATCATTTTGAATTATCCTTAATTTTTATCAAGTAGTTCAGTAAAAAACTAATAGTGCGATTTTAAAGTTTTGATCCCTTTATTGTCAAATTAGAAAATTCAAGATACTACCTGAAATCGTTTTGTCTCAACAGTATAATATACCGAACACAAATGCACATTCTACTTTTCTGGCTCCCTCCATATGGAGACTAAAATGCACTTGCGAAAAATGTTACAGTCGCATGGGCATATGAACTCACATATAGTATTTGCGTTTCGTGTTGGCAATTGGTGTTGCCAACATTCGAAGAATTACCCGATTTATACCGAAATAACATTTTAATAATGCGAAAAGTAACATGATATATACCATGTTTGCGACAAAAAAATTAAGACTTTTAAAGATTGTGCCATACTTCCCTAAGTCACGACGCGATATTCCCATAAGTCAATACAGGGGCATTGGGCGCTTACATATGGAGAAAACCTCCATTATAACACACTTATTGCATTTGGAGCAATCCTTCGCCAACATTTGTTTTATATTTGTCTGTTCTGTCTCGTCGCAGTCAGTTCTCAAGGAGACCGCCAGGTAGCGCCTCCACCACGCGCCCCTGAGTCATTACCAGTCATTACCCAGCGGCCAAAACTGGGAAGGAATTAGGACAGGGTTTAGGATGCTTCGCAAGGTTGGTGTTGGTTGGTGTAGCCCCTGGGAAGCAGGCAAACTCGTTTTGTCGGAACAATTTTCACATGAGATTGTCCGAGGTTCAGTGGGAATCCGATGGGAATCGAGCTCGTATCTTTTTGGTGAAAGGCTAGCGACTTTGCTCTGCGCCACGAGATTCCTCAATGATTATGCCTCATCTGATTTGATTTGATTTGTTTAGTAGTTATCAGTAGTAGAGTGTAAAAACTGTGTGTGACGTTTGGGGGAGAAGTATGATCTGGTATGATATGTGCATCTCTGTATCAAGTGTCATGCCATCTGTGCTCGTCTCCTTCTGATCCAGAATATATTCCCAACATTGTAACTATAAATAGTCGAATGAGGGAAAAAAATATAAAAAAGTGAGATTAACAACATTTGGAAACTAGACATTTTTGCTCCCGAGTTATAGAAAACTTATTTGCATTAGTAAACGAATTATCTATTTGATCTTGTTGTATTTCTAATAATATACATACCCCCATTGGTAACGCATACCCCAGCTGTAATTCCCACCATTATTAAGCAAAAGGAGAGCCCAGCAAAACGTGCGCATAGAGAAGCTACATTTATTTCCAGAAGCAAAACGGGTCATCTCAGCATTTGCTCAATGGATCTAGGAAACTGAAAAAAAAACTGATCAAGATGGGGTTATTGACCCGGAAGCGGAAGTACATTTACTTACAAGAACGTATATTAAACCTTTACTTTCCCATATACATACGTATATACGAAGTAGTATACGTAGTTTGTTGAACGTTATGTAATGTTGCGTGAAAAAACTGCTGATTTTTGGCAGAAAAAATTCATTGCCGGGCCTTGATAACAAAAAAGTGGATAAATCCAGTTGCTAAATAAAGGAACAAAATTCCTATAACACGTGGTATATCCAGAATCCCTATTTTGTGGGTCATTGATACAGAAAAACCAACTGACGGTAAAACGTCCGTCCGTCTGTCTGTCTGTCAGTTTGTGAACACCCCCAGCATCTAAATCATACGTACAGTTTTTTTCACAAAATTAATATTCCCCGGTCGATCTGGTTCTACTCAAGCCGCTGCGATTTTGAAAAACTTTCTTCAAAATTGGGAGCATTTTACATAGGACTACCTGACATTTCCAAAATTTTCTCAAAAACGGCTCCATTTTTTTCTTCAAATTTCTTGTAAGAATACAGTAAAATACATTTATAGAGATGGCATAGGTCACATTTTCACGCTTATCTCTGAATTTTCAAAAATTGTAAATTTTTAATTTTTTGTGGCGTCTTCTTACAACTACAAAATTAAAGATAGAGATTTTTCCTTCAAATAAAATTTGTTCTCGTTTGTCTATTATTTCATTAAGGTCATTTACATTTTTTTGAAACTTTTAGCAGTTTTCGCACAATATTGTGTGCAAAATGAGAAATTTAAAAAAATAACGAAAAACATATTTTATCCAAAAGGGCTCTTTTCAGTTCTTGCTCATGTTTTTTTTTCTTTTTTTCCCCTTCATATTAATAAAATCAATCGTTATGGAGGAAATTTATTTCATTTTGATATCATCGGATTTAGTGAACCATCATAGGTTTTAGTTGCTCTCGAAGCTCAGTGGCGAAGTCACTTGCCTTTCACAACTGAGCACTGAGGTTCCGGGCTTGATTCCCGTAGAACCTCATGTGAAATTTGTTACGACAAAACGAGTTTGCGTGCTTCACAGGCGCTAGTCCAACCTCTGTGAAGTGTCCTAAACCCTACCTCTATCCTAATTCCTCCTTGCCAATTCTGACCGCTGGGTAGTGACGCGGGAGTGCGTAGCGTACCTGGCGGTTCTCTCGACAACTCACTGCGACGAGACGTGACATTAAATAACAGATAATGTTAATGGAGGATTACTCTCAATGAAGGATTATAAATATAGCGAGATTATTAATAGAGGATTACACCCAAGCGTGAAGCACTCAACGCACCCCGGAGCCTAGAGACGCGTTGCGCCAATTCAGATGCAACAATTTTTTTAATGTTAGTCCCCAGAAGTTAACTATAACCGAAGTTTTGTGCACAGAACTGGTAACATATAAGTAACACTCTCTGACACTGAAAGTTTGATGCGTTGTTGCCACACATTACGAGGCAAGTGGCACCACTTATATGGCAGGCAAATGAAATATTAAAACAACAACAATTACTATGATGCGACAACACATGTTGATGTCATATTCATAACCTTTGCCAGTCGAACCTTATCGCCTCAGTAATTTCGTGTGAGTCGGATGAGCGGCAACGGTGAACCCTGTTTGTGAGAAAGTAAACAAATGCTTGCAAGTTCTTATGTGCTGCCGGTACTGTAGCATTGAATGTCTGTGGCTATACGGTGTAATATAACTCAAACTGTCTACGGTGTAAAAAACCGAACCCCGCGCCTGTAACCATGGTCACGATGTAAGATATATTTCTTACACCATAACATGGCCAACTCAATGGATTGATTCAGTCTCGTTTCGTGTGAATCAGTTGCATATCTGATTCTTCGTTTCGTATTATCAAGGAGGTTAATATATACTATATTATAAACTCCTTGCCTATCATCCACCTGGTTGACCGACATTTTGGGATAAGGGGGCTCTGCTGGGAGTCCGCAAGTTGTATTTGTACAATGGCATCAAATACGATAAAAAACCCTCTACTGAGAACTGTTGCTGTAAGTGATTGGCACTTTACATTTTGGTTCATTCAGGTTACGTTACCTGCGACTGAAAATAGTTGATCTATGCCATTTTGTTCCTTACTATTTCTTGGAATTAGATAAAATAAAAGGGAATATTATTTTATTTATATAGCACGGGGTTCTTCTGTAAATATTAACCACGTATGATATCACAAGCATACTTGAATTAATGTTCATATGTGAATATTAGTGTTCAAGGAATACCGGAGCTTTTACTAGGGTTGTTAAAGGTTTCTTTTATTTTTTTATATTAATATCCAAATGATGCATGTATTCATCAGTGTTCACTTATCTTATGTCTGTAATGTCTTCACTTTGCAAACAGCCAGTTGTCGCAACCTAATTACAATCCTTGAAGGTTATGAATAGAGTTGATAACTTGTATGAACATTAAATTCTGGGGAAGACTTTGTATTAAAGCATATTTGTGTGTATTTTCTCATAAACACATTGATATTTTACTTCATGTTTGAAATTCTGAATTGATCTTGTATTTATTTTTAGAACCGCAGCTTCAGTGCTCAAGCTTGTGCTAAGCCTGTTCCCAGTGCTAATGCAGAAGTTAAAACTACTGTATTGCCCAATAAATTAATTGTCGCGTCTGTGGAAAATAACTCTCCTATTTCACGAGTCTCTATTTTATTCAGGTGAGTTTGTGGTTGGAATTAATTTCCAAATGAAATAGATAAGTTTTATTTATTCACACAGCTTAATTTTTATTTAAAGGGCGGGGTCTCGTTATGAAACACATGATAACTATGGAATTTCCCATGTTCTTCGAATTGCTGCTGGTCTTGGAACTAAGTGTTACAGCCAAATTGGAATTACTCGTCATATTCAGCAAGTTGGTGCAAATATAAGTGTTACATCTGACAGAGAATTGATTTCTTACACTCTTGAAACTACAAGAAATGAATTGTAAGTATTGTGAAAATAACTTTCAACTTTAATCTCTCAGATATTTGAATGGTATTCATTTACTTTGTTTCAGAGAAAATACTTTTGACATCTTGAGTAATGTTGCAATGCAGCAAGCTTTTAAGCCTTGGGAAATTTCGGATAACCTTTCACGAATTAAGTATGACTTGGCAGCTCTACCTCCTGTTATAAGGTCTGTGGACTTACTTCATAAAGCTGCATTTAGAACAGCGTTGGGCAATTCCATATTTTGTCCAAAACATTCTATTGGAAAGATCAGTTCAGAAACGGTAAATATTATTTGTTTGATATGTACATGTATTCATACTAAAATGTCAAATGCGAAAAGTCTTTAATTCGAGCAAGATTTCCAACTAGTAAGATGCAATTTGTGAAGAAAAAAATTAATAAATCAGGCAAATTGGAAATTTCAGACTACACTTCAAATAAAACATTAAGTCCATTGACACTTGATCAACTGTAGTACTGTCATCCTATTGGAAGCTTAATGTCACCACAGTAATATTCAAGCTCCCCATTGGATGACAGTGTTACTGCTAATCAAGGGTCAAACTACTTAATATTTTAATTGAAGTATTAATGTGCAGTGTTTGTCAAGGTTATTAAATCGAAGTCATTACATTGAGATATTTTCAATATTTCTGCAGGAAGATGATGCTATTGTTATCTGATTTACTTACATGAAAGATGAATGGCAATTTATTCTCAGGTTTCAACTCTTTATCAGTTTTTTGAACTCTCCACCATTATTATGCACCTTACACCAGTGTTTAGAATGAGATGCTAAAACTTTCTAGTATTCAGCCTAATATTTATTGACTTACTCTTGAATTGGTTTTGCTTGTTCAATATTTTGATCACTACAAAATATGAGGATATAATTTGATTAAAAATAGAAAAAATGCTAAATTTTCCCGAATCAGAGAACGAGATTCACAATTGTCTCTATCTTAAATATTTGGAATCCATAATCTACAGCAATGAATTGAGACAATTCGATTAAACAGAATTTTTTCTGTTATTGACTCAAATAGTGGACAGAAGACAGAGAATAAAGAGATTTTAAACTTTTATTGTTGGAAATAGTAAATTTGGTTCCAAGGATTTGAACGACGAAACAAATCCACTGTGATTAAAATTTTCAAATCTTGTGCAATATGTTCTGTGGCTCACAGCATCAACTGATGTCACTAGGTCCTCTGAGGGAGGTTCTAGGTTCATGTCCCGACAGTGGCAAGATTTTTTAACACTAGCTTATCAGTAGGGTCGAATTCAGGCATTGTCTGGAGGAGAATTCTAGAGGCCAGCTGATCGGATGTTTACGTTTTCATGGTTTCTCCATACACCATATGAATGCCGGAGCAATTTCTTAACAAATATGCACAAACTTTCCTTTCTCTTCCTTTTCCTATCCTCACCCTATACACAAACTTACGCTTGCATGCACTGCACCTGCTGGGAGACTAGTTGAAGTTTTGAGATTGTCCGGGCTGGGGCATTGACCTGCTGATGGGAGATATGTGTAGTTAAACATAATTGGTTTTAATTTCACAAGTGGAATAGTCAATGTTATTGTAGCTGGAAGAAAAGAAAGGAAAAGGAGGGCTTTTAAAGCAGGTACATTGTTTACCAACTAGTGGACCATGATGTTCATGGAAACAAGTTAAACGTTCATTTGAGAGAGCTTATGCTGAAGTGATTTTGAAGGCAGAAACTGTTTGTACTCTTGTAGTCTGTTCTCAAGATATTTATGTTTATGTTTGAGTAAATTTGTAGGATGAGAATTAGTGGGCTCAATCAAGCAAATAAAAAAACACTATACCATATTTATCAGGATATAACATGAAGTTTTTTCCTATATTACTAATTTGATGAATATGGGATCATCTTATATTCGCAAATTAAGCCTAGTGTATTAAGAAATATATTTTTACACTGCTTTTCTATGCAAAGAAGAAATTCAAATGCTGATGAAAAATGAGTTGAAAGGTAATATATCACACATATATATAATAACTAATTATTTTTGGGGACTATTGTTGGCATTCAACATTAATTTGGACACAATTCAGACCAATAGTTTGTAATGGGCTGGTAAAGAAAGAATCTCAACGAATGTCACTGAAATGTTATCATTTTAGTAAGCATTATTATAGTATGGCATTGTGTTATTGTCAGTGTAGTAGGTGAAATGCAATGTGAAAAAGTATAAAAATTGTTGGTGATATTAATAGGAATTCATGTTTTATTTGGGTAAATAGGTTGCTTGCTGCTTGCTTACTAGTCAGTAAGGCATCCATTTCTCACTCTAGGTTTTGCCCAAAGCATGTGTTGCACTGAAAAATGTTTCGTATGAATCCTATTATGAGTTCTAAAACCAGTGGGATTCATTGTGCATGGACAAGTCTTACGTTAATGCAAAGTCAGCCACCTACAATTGCCTTGCCCTTGTAGTTTTGTTTTCCACAGGAGATTCACCATTGAAAAACAGTGCACTTGAATTGTTCTTTGTGACATTTACTACAGAAATTAACTCTTGTAGACTTCTTTCACTTTTATATTGATGTTTTCAATTTACTTTGTAATTTATAGTAATCCAAATTTTAAAATTACTTAATTATGAATATTACTTATCAATGTTTCATGTCTAAATAACAAACTTTTAGAATTTACATCTTAAGAATGGGCAAATGAGGACAATTGATTTATGCATTAAAAAAAAACATTTCACTATGCTCCTTTGTTCGGTTATTATTGCCTACATGCATTGCCCTATTGGCCTACATGTTCGGTTATTATTTATCGTGTTACAGTAAGGTATGGATTCCTGTAAAGTCAGAGATCTTGAGTTTCATTCTTCGCAATTGTATCTTTTTTTTATCTCTTAAATTTTGGAGGCTCATATATTTTGCTTACCCCACTTTCTTGGAAGGATAGGCATTTCAAATTTAGAGATGTGCAGTATCTCAAATTCTTTTAAAGCAAGTTCAACATCTGAATCCTTGCAGCATATCCTAATAATTCTTACATGAGGATTTGGAACAGCCCAGGGCTCTTCTCTGGGCCCATTGTCTCTTATACTGTGGTTCTTGAAAATTTCATTCTCCCTATGTCTTCACATCAGTTACTCACTAACTTTGATTTATTGATGTTCCACATAAAATTATATTACATTGAAAAAAGCTTTGAAATGCATGGTTGTTAAGTTAGCTGCATTACAGTTATATGGTTGCTAATAATTCAACAAGGCCTCTGGAAACAACTAATTTATGTTCTGAATTCCAGTGCATCAAAAATCAAGCAGAGCTATGAGTGTCACTGAAAAATGTGAGAATAAAATTGAAATTTGAGTTTTTTCTTATACAATTAAACTTGTGTTTGTACAACAAATGTTCGTTTTCAAATCATCCTTTGAATCTTATATTCCTTACTTCGGAAGCAGTAGAATCACTCTTTTAAACTACATTCTGTACATCTTTTGTAAATTAAAATTTTTGACTGTGAAAATTTTGTTTCAAATTAGAGAAACATGGTTGGGAACAAAGTTCAAGCTGTTGCGCAGATAAGACAAGACTTTAATGATTCTTGAGTCAAATGTTTCCAGTGAGGAGGATGGTTCCAAGCAGGACAGACTTCAACCTTTTTTGCTTCAGCAATTCTTTGAATAGGCAGTTTCCATACTTTGGGATCAGTTATTATTTACGATTACTCCAATGAATCTGTCACATGGCCACAAGCTAAGCAAATGCTCACCTTCCAGCACTTTTGATGGAGAGTCTTCACTTGTCAAGTCTGTGTGCTGCTTTGATTTCTGACAGGAGTTCAAGATCTGCAGTACTGTTGAAAAAATGTTTCCCGTTTTTGATACAGTCCCAGTTATCATTAGATCTTTTAATTTTGTGTTTAGTTCTCAACACAATTTTAAATAAACAAACAAATAAATACTCTGTTCTGATTAATTCTTGGCTGTTGAGTACTAACTATTTTTGTGCCAGTACTGTGCATTATCTAATTTTGTTGTGCTTATGTTTGCAGCTTCAGCATTTTGTAAGGAGTCACTATTTGGCTAATCGTGGTGCAGTTGTGGGGGTGGGGGTTGATCATGATCGCCTTCTAGCCTATGCCCAGAATTTGTGTATTGAAGATGGAGAGAGTTGTGACCAATCTTCTACTTACAAAGGTGGGGAGATTCGTGTGGATACAGCCTCTTCCAGTGCTAATGTAGCTGTGGCTGTGGAGGGCGCAAGGTATTGGGAAACTACTTGATTGAATATTGTTCTCTCTTCTTTCTTTTCCCCCCTTTGTATTAATTAACAAACTTGTAAATTTTTTTAACATTGACACCTTCATTATTAAAAGGCAAAACGTTAATTCCTTTACTATGCCTTTCTTATTCCAATAGTATTTTTCTTTGCTTACTTTTTTCTTGATTAGTTTGAAAGATATTTTGAAATATGTTTAAAATGTTATAATTTCTTATCACAAACAGCTTAAAAAGTACTCAAGAAGCGCTGGCATTTGCTGTTCTGCAATATGCCCTTGGTGTTGGCCCATCAGTGAAGTGGGGATCCCAAAATAACACACCATTTGGCAAAGCAGTTGCTAATGCAGCAAAAGATGATCCTTGTGCTGTGTCTGCTTTGAATGCTAGTTACTCGGACAGTGGATTGTTTGGTTTTGTTGTATCTGGTGCACCTAATGTTGCTGGCCAAGTAAGAATTTGTTCAATGTTTTGAAATTCATATTATGCTGGTTATTGCCCCTATATGAATTTTTGGGGGGGGGGGGGGGGGGGGTGTTCTGAGAGTCTAAACTGTATATTGTGAGGGAAGAATGAATAAGATTTAGTGGTTTATAGAGAGAATGAATTTCATGCCCCGTTGCAATTGTTTAATTTTTCATAGGCTGTTAAAGCAGCAGTTAAGCAGCTGCGCAGTGGCAATGTTTCTGAAGAAGATATACGTAGAGGAAAGGCACAGTTGAAGGCATCTGTGTTAATGGCTGTTGAAAGTGGAGCAGAATTAGTTAATGAAATTGGAGCACAGGCTGTCCTTTTGGGAAATGTTACATCAGGATCCAACCTGGCATGTGTAATTGATCAGCTGAAGAGTTCTGATGTCAATGCTGTAAGTTGATTTAAACATCCAAAAATTAGGAACAGTCATCCATTATAATAATTAATTTCACTATCTGGTCAAAGTTGGAAATTTAACAACTACTCAAGAATGTTTTCTTCATTGTGTAATTGTCAACCTTTGCAACCCCATAGCTACTAACCATGAAACTAAACTTCCAACTGTGACTGGGTCGTAAAGTATATTCATTGGGATTCTTACCTTAAGGCTGCATGGGAGTTGATAGCTCAAGTGATTAAAGCAACTGACATTATACTGGGTGATCTGGTTGAAACTGAGGAAGTCAGTGTTTTGAACAGACAAATCAATTCACAAGAAAAATAATAGTAATAATAATGTGTAATATTAATAATATTATCATTTAATATTTTGATTTTTTTTTTGTAGGCTGCGAAGAAAATTGCATCAGGAAAGTTGTCTGTAGCAGCAGTTGGAAATTTGACATGTGTCCCATACCTTGATGAACTTAAGTAAACACATCATTCACTGTATATAGATGTAAGAGAAAATGTACATTATGCCAAATAAAAATAATATTAGAACCCACTGTAGTGAACAGACTAGCTGATGTGAATGAAAGAAGAAAGATTGTTCAAATTGTATTGTTATAATACCAATTCCTACATCTTTTATTCAGTAAAGCAAAAGTTGTTTCTAGACCTTGTGATATCCAACAATTGTATTTTTTTATTTCAAATATTAGGATGGAAAGAAATATTTATTACTGATTTGAATTTTTAAGAATTATGTGCTTATTCAGTATTACAGAGAACACTGATTTAACTTGTAGGTATAAATAATTATGAAGTTATTTATTAATAATTATCAGATATATTCTTAACTATTTATTGATATTTTTCCATCAAAATTACTTATTGATCCTAACTTCCTCTTTAATCGAATAGAACCAAAGCTTTCTAGTAATTTCCTACTAAATAATCTTTGTGCCGCCACTAATATATATTTTAAAAAGCTAGTTTTGTACAAGAGACTGTCTGAAGCAAAAATCTCTATCTTCAATTTTGTAGTTTTGTATATTTTTTTGCAATTTTTGAAATCATCAAGGAATACCCGAAAATACGACTAGCGCTATATTTTTTACAGTTCCTTGTTACATATTTGGAGAATATTGAAAGAAAAAAATAAGAGTTCATTTTGAGACTTTTGTAAATTTCAAACGCAAAAACCACTAGTTCTTTCAAAAAATTGAACTTTTTTGAAGAGCCAATTTTGTACAACACACTGAGGCAAAAATATATCTTTAATTTTGTAGTTTACAATGTGTTTATTTTAAAAAACAAGAAATGGGACTAGCTCCATATTTGTATTGTCTCTAAGAAAGAAAATTTGAGCGGTTTTTAAGTTGTTTTTTTTGTAATTGCGATCGAAAAAATCGCGAAAACCACCCGTTCTTCAAAAAATTATATGTGACCTATTTTGAATAGCTAAGTTTCTACAACAGACTTGTTCGGGGAAAAAATCTATCTCCAATTTTGAAGTTTCACAATTTTCGAAAAATCAGAGGTGACAACGAAAATAAGGCGTGCTTCATTACTTTAAACGTACTTAGCAATATTCAACAACAAAATGTAATCAAAGAAATTGGTGTCTGTTTTAATGTCCCAGATGCTTCAAGTAAATGCCCCCAAAATTAGAATTTCGGTTTCAAATTCAAGGGTCCGCGACTACAGCAAGAACTGGGGAACATCAATTTTCGAGAAAATTGGCTGAACGGATCGCTAGCGTTGTGCACAGATGAGTTTTGCCGTCAATCCATTTTTCGGTATTGGCCCTCAAAACATGAATTCTGGCTACGTCACATGTTAGAGGAATTTTTTCTATATTCAGCAGCTGGATTTATCCACTTTTTCGTTACCAGGAGCCGACAATAAGAGTTTTTGTGTTGAAAATTCACCATTTTCCAGCGACGATTACAATACTTTCTCTTCTTACGTTAATAATTGAGAGAAAGTAAAATATGAGTATGACTGATGGTAATTATAAATTAACGGGAACTTTGCAATTTTCATTTCAATTAAGTAAAATGTGGGTTATGACGAGTTATTTCACTTATTTGAAAGTCAAGTCATTTAATTATTGTACCTGCTTATATCTAACTTAAATCGAATTCATAAAAATTTCTTTTGTGGTGGTATTAGAGAGGACCATAATGTATTCAAACGGCCATCGAGTATAAATAATAAAAATGCTCGTTAGGGTATTAACAATACCGTTACGTGTTTTTTCTGTTCATAAACACACGGCAATGAATTAGTAAACCATAAACAAAACTAGCGGTGCTACAGAATGGCACATTTTCCCATATTAGTTTTCTATTTTCTTTTTGTCAGCTATTCGTACTTGCCATATACTCTTTTCAGCTCTGCCATCTATTGCCGCCAAAAACTTTTTTTCCCCTAAATTTTGCGGTTTTCTATGGAAATATTATTTTTAAGAATATGAGAGAATATCGTCCTATATGGCAATTTTCTTCGAAAAATTTTGAGTCGTTTTTAAGAAAATGGCGTTTAAGCGCTAATGCAAATACGAAATTTTACCCTCTTTTTCACTGAAAAGAATTGAGTTTTCGAAAATCTCCATTTGAAATCATTTGGAACACTTTTAGTCACAAATGCAGTAGTGTTTACAAATTGCTGAAATGTGCATATTAAAGGCGTCGGAGATATTTAAAAAAAATTACATTTCTGTATTTTTAAAAAACAAATGAAAACAATAATTAATTATGTTTAATCTTAATCAGTACAATTAGCACTATCCGCTTGAAAATTTTCAGGTAAAAAATTGGAGCCATTTTAGTGAAAACGGCATTTGAATGTTTCTAAAAATGCGAAATTTTGAGCTCCTTTTTACAGAAAACTTGAGTTTTCCAGAAATTTTATCTGATATTTTTTAAACATATGCTCGTAAATACATTAATGTGAAGAAATTACCGGTAATGTAAATATTAATGACGTGACAAGTAACAAAATTACATTTTTGTAATTTTTGAAAAAAAAATAGGCCTACATGGCGTTTACGTCATCTTATCTAGTGAAATTAGCACTGGCCCTACCAAAAGTTTAAAGAAAAAAGTTTGAAAAGGTTTTTTTTTATATTGCACAAAAACAAATTTTATTTGAAAGAAAAAATCTCTATCTTCAATTTTGTAGTTGTAGGAAGACGCCGCAAAAAATTCAAAATTTTGCAATTTTCGAAAATTAAGAGTTTACCGTGAAAATCTGACTTTTTCCAGCTTTATATATTGTACTCTATTCTTACAAGAAATTTAAAGAAACATTTTGGAAATGTCATGTAAACAACCCCTAAATTTTAAAAGTCGTTTAAAATCCTGGCGCCTCGCTCGATGTCTTATGCATGCACAAGCCCGAATGACACACTCAAGTCTCCGCTTCATGTAGGAGTAGCCGGAAAAAGCTGAACGGAAGCCGACGGTGGGGAAGCAGGTGAGTGGGTTCACCTGGAGATGGTAATCACCAGAGATTACAATACGTATGTGTACAAGAAAGTAATTATACAGAAAAATTTATCTTGACAATCAACAAATCGGTTATCAGTGAAAATAGGACGTATGACACTTTTATAAAGGTGTTTTACTCTATTCTTATAAGAAATTTAAAGAAAAAATTTGGAGCTATTTTGGAGAATTTCTCAAAGGCTACATGTAAAGAACTCTGAAATGTGTTCAAAATCGCAGAGCTTCGTCAGGGGTTTCTTCAATTTCGCAAAAAATGTTTGCATGATTTAGGCGCTAGTGTTGTTCACATACACCGTACAAGACGGATGGACATTTTGAAAAACACTTTTTCCCGTATCAAGGAACCCCTACACGCGGAAAAATAAAAAAAATATAAACAGCAAATGTTTTCCGACAAACAATTGTCAATAATACAAATGGAAAAACATGGTTCAAGTAAAACAAAATCCATTGATTTAATTTCTAGTTTGTCGAAGTTTTTCTTTTTAAACATAATAAGAATTTATATTTCAAGATTTAAATGACACATCTCCCAAAATATCACCGTTACGAAGAATTAAAAGAAGTGTCAATAGTACAAAAACCATAAATGGATGCGTGAAAGTAGTAAAGGAAAAATTATTTATGCTTGCTTTTTGTCGCAGAATGTAATATCGCCATTGTTATCTCTTCTATTAAAGTACAGAAGTTCCTGTTTAAGTACAGAACTCTGCAATTCCTTTTCTCTTCTATTTTGTGTGAAATTCAATTATGACTACCCCATATCATGATCATAGGATGATTTTTGGTCCAATATCATCGATCAATTTCGGCGAATAAATATTAATATTTTAGAGATAACAAAACATTTATAATTGTTTTGTACATTTTTACATTCGTATCTTCTTACTTCGGTGTTTGACGCAAGCTCTTTCATCTACAATCGTAAATTAATCTTACGAACACATCGGAGAAAGTGGTTAAATTTAGATTCAGCACGTGCCTTAACATTATCGATGAGCAAGATAATATGAATACCATCTGAATCTTTGTCGATAATTGTTTAGATAATTGTTGGCCTTCCCATTGCATTCGTAATACAAACATTTGGAAACAATAAATAGACCAATGGTATGCAACTGCCCGGCCCCAGGGATGCCCAAGTGCAATAAGAGGCGTGAGGCAGTTGATTCACGAGGCCCTCTAATTCGCAACAAAAGTTTCTCAATACATAAACAAAATTTATTTCTCCAAGTAGCATAAATTATAGCGGTTAATTTGAACTAAGAGTGAATACATTTTTTAAATGTATTTTGAAAGAAAAGAAATTAAGTTTTCCAATTAACCTCGAGGCCAGGGGCATGTTTCCCTAGCTGCATCCCTCGTCTCCTGTTCTGGGCACCAGCACCCTAGCCCAGAATTGAAATTGGACTCTGGGAACAGGGTTCCTGCAATGACTCAAGTTTTAATGAGGGTCCAATGAACGATAACCCAAGCAAAGGCCGTCGATAATTCTCTATCAATGCAAATTACGCACCTTGACCCCGAACCGTAATCATTTCATATTCAAGTGCAGAGATTAGAAAACATTTGTTTCATGATATTCAAATGTTTAAGTAACCTATATTTTAGTCAAACAATTTTTGCGATTCCTTTTTTGTAGAGGTATATAACGCTAACTGAGAGGGCCCAGAACATTTATTTACGGGAGGAAGTAGACTAGCGCCGCAACGTACTTTCTTGTACTATTTGTAACAATTAAGTAAACTTTAATAATTATTATATTAAAACTTGAACACAACTAATAATTCAGCCATCTCATGTAAAACTCCTATCAAACTTCTTGAATCACGGCGTAGGACGCCATTTTAGGTTTTTACATTTTACAAATGTCATAGAAAATTTTCATCCCACACTGTAGCAGCACTATGGGCTGGTGGAAAACCGGGTGAAAGGGCAAAACGAATTGATACCTATCTCCCTTCCTTTTCAATCCCAACAAAGTGCGATTCAGAGGCGGGATTTTGGATCTTTTATTGGGGGGGGGGTAGTAAAGGTTCTCTCTGTATAAGATGATAAAATGTTCCCCTAAACCAAATGACATATGAGTTGTTACACTGTAAGTAGTTTCGAATATAAACATATTTTTGAAAAATTTTCTTAGCCCCATCCCCCACCCACACCCCTCTTCAGGCAAAAACATTTTTTAATTTTAATTTGTTCTTCATTTTAACACTATTTTATCTGATTGAAAACATATGAAAAAAATAATTTAGACTATCAGATATATATATTTTTTATATTTTCTCGCTATGTAATGCGTGCGAAAAAAGACGAATTTTCTGCAGAAAAACTCTTATTACAGGACCCCAGCACCGAAGAAGTCGATAAATCCAGCTGTTAAATTTAGAAAAAATCCTGTAACACGCGGTGTAACCAGAATCCATGTTTTGTGAGTCCTTCCTACCGAAAAATTGATTGACAGCAAAAACGCCTAACTCTCCGGCTGGCCGTGAACAACGCTAGCGGCTAACCGTTCAGCCGATTTTCTCCCAAATTGATATTCTCCAATCGACCTGTCTGATGTCGCGACTCCTTTCATTTTAAACCGATATTTTAATTTTTTGGTGTGGGGGGGGGGTACTTTTCATGAACTCCTGGAACATTTTCAAAATTTTCCAAATATTGACTCCAACGTTTTTGATTTTACTTTGTTATTGGGTAGTGTGAAGAACATTTAAGAGAATGGCACAAATACCATGATCGTTAAAAACACTGATTTTTCAAAAATTGAAAAAAAAAAGAATATTTTTTCGCGGCTCCCTACAACTAAAATTATGAAAATAAACATTTTTCTTAATGAAATTTGTTCATGAAAAACATATCTAAAAATGATATCATGGCAGATGGCAGTGGTCTTCCCTCGCCAAGTGTTTACTTCGACATTTTGACGCCCTATATTTTTCACCATGCGAGAAACTCTTTTATTATTGAAGAAAAGCACAAACATCCAGCGGATAAAATGACACGGAAGTCCAAATATTGATATGAGAAACCCCCGTTTCTGTATGAATCATAGTCCTTGAGTTAGACGACGATAAAAACAATATTCAGTACGTTCGGAACGAACATCTCATGTCGTTCAGTGATCTTTAATACGTCTCAACGATTCTAAACTGGGGATGGGGAAAAGAAAGAGTGTTTATTTTTTAATTTCACCCATTACAAACAATGAAATACAATAAATGTATCTAAAAAATTGACATATTGGCTTATGCTGTATTTATGTGACAAATATATTGTTGTTGTTGTTATTATTATTATTATTATTATTATTATTATTATTATTATTATTATTAAGTGGTAAATAAAGATCTGAAAAACTGTGGAGTCTCCTTGTCGTACTCCAGTCTCGCTAATTAATATAAATTTGTCGTCTGTGACCTTGGCTCTCATGACTACTGACGAAATTCTGAGATATCGATGTCTAGATATCGATCTCACTCGTCCGCGGGAAGAGAGCTATACTGTCGCTCCTCCGCGCGACATCCGGTGTTGGAAGCGAGCGCGCCAAACATCCTCAATATTGAACAGTATATGCAAGAGTTGCAAGTGCATTAGATTGCTGTGCATGCATGGGTCTAGAGTCTAGTTTTAGTGTCTTGAATTTGAAGTGTTTACCACCTTCATTTTTCATTAATTTTATATTCTGTTACTTGCAAGAATGTCTAGTGTTTCTCCCAAGAAAAGGTGTCGTGGAGAAACTTTGCGAAGCAAGGAACGCTGAATCATTATCAATGTTTTTGATTATTTTAGCAAACAATATAACGTTTCAACTGCTATCAAAGAAATGTCTATTGCAACAGATTATTTTGAAAGAACCATTTACAAGCTCTGAAAGGAATCTGCCTAAGACATTTTGATGATACCAGGTAAAAAGAGAACTCAAAGCAAGCCAAATGAAAATGCCAGATAAACAATCAATACGTAAAATCTGGGATTCGGTTTTAGTTTACGATTTTTTTTAAATACACCCTAACATTCAAGTCAATTTTGGATGTAAGCAATGCTAATACAAATTTGCCTAACATATCAAGATCCACTTTGCATAATATCTTGAAGGATTTCGGTTTTATTTACCAAAGAGGAAATATGGCAATGTTACTGGAAAGGGGCGAAGACAAATTTCAGAAAGAAGGCAAAAGTATTATTTATACTGACGAGTCGTGGGTTAATGATGGGCACAGTATTCAAAAGGCTTGACTAGATACTGAAACTAAAACACCTCGCCCAGCTTTTCTTGCAGGCTTGGGTGTTGGTCTCATGTCACCGACGTCCAGGGGTCCTCGTTTCGCCTTGTAACATACTGGAAGCACTGAGGGATTTTTAGTTGGAATAGAATTGGTAACTTTACGAACAATGGTTTGGGCAGATATTGCTAATTAATGTACCAAAGGGCCCCTTAATAGTCATAGAGAACGCTCCGTATCATTCCAGAAAATGCAAGGCTTTGCCAACGAGCAAGTGGGGGAAAGAGTACCTAGATATGGCTACAGAAGAAAAACATTGCCCATGAAGAGGGCCTATTTAAGCGAGATTTACTATCCATTGTCCAAAATGAGAAACCAAAATACGAAAAATTTATATTTGATGAAATTGCAAAGGAAAGTGGATGTGAAGTATGAGGGTTACTCCGTACCTCTGTGAACTTAAGCACATTGAAATGTCTGGGCACAGAGGAAACATTACGTGACAATAAGGAATACTACTTTAAGATCAATGACATGGAACTCCTTATACGCGAAGGTTTCAAACAGGTAACACAGGAAAATTGGCAAAACTATATTTCACACATAGTGAAAATTGAAAATGATAGGTGGAAAGCTGATTAATTCCAAAATGATGTAGAAGGATTTGTAATTTATATACCAACATCGTTGTCTTCGCCATCTGACCCTCAGTTTTATCTGAAGAAGACAACGGAAGTGAAATATGTGAAGGAATAGTCTCATCGTTACATAATTAAAGAAATGTTGCTAAGTGAAAATTTTATTACTTGATAACAATTATTTTACTGAAACTATTATTAAACTTTATTTTAAAGTAATTCAAAATTACATTAAAATTCGGCCATTCAATGTAGGAAACCGTAAAAAATATTACATTGTAAAGCATACTTTATTATATTAAATTAAGGAAGTCCATATAAAAATTGTTAAAAATGTTTTGCAACTTGTATACTTAAATAATTAGTTGTATTTGGATTATTCATGCACGAGTTCGACCTCGTGAGGACAGGCGGTGCGCGGAGATTTCCGCGCTTCGACAGGCAGCATGTGATGAAAAATCTGAACAATAATTGTCGGAAAACACCACTTGTAAGGAAACTTCATATTACATTGAAATTTCCTTTATGGATTTCGAAAGGTGTTGAACACGCTGGTAAAATTCCATGCCAATTTGAGTAACCAGCAAGGCGATAGTTGTGCATAAGCGCTGTGTGAGAAGTGCCAACGCTGTCCTCCATAAGCGCTGTACTCAATCAAATGCTTGGACGTTCTACAGTAAAGGATGGCCGTGGTGCGGCACAGCGTAGGAAACAGGGCACGGTGTCGTATAAATTCTTGCAGTGTTCAGGAAGACTTACACCATAGGTACAACGGGACACAATTGGAATAGTCGTATTTAAAACCTCAAAATTTGAACACGCAGTGACGCAACGCGTGTTTTACGGGAACGCTCTGGCCTCCGGCCTTCGCGATTAATATAATACGTCCTTGAGTCTCTCCCAAGGAAAATTTCCAACGTATTTTATGCCAAAGTACATTTTTGTTGCAAACTTTTAACCAAACATTTTGAGGCTGGGTTTCGAAGTTGGGTAACTAAACTTCGGCCTTTGGCATACGAGTACATAAAACATTCTTGAGTCTGTGAAATACATAATATCCAACCCATTTCATGCCAAATATTTTTATTTACCGAACACTGTTATCTTCACATTTTGATTATTTGCTTACGCGCGTAAGTTAGTAGGTAACGAGTCTCCGGCCTTTGGCCTACGCGATTAATAAAAAATATCCTCGAGCCGAAGCAACGCAGAATTTTCAATTGTCATACGAACTACGTAAACAACCCTTCTTCCTGACACTCGTTTTTTTCTTTCGTTAAACGATCTGGCGAAGTTGGTGACAATTCATTAAGATAAAGAAATATACCATATTTTTAGTAATAGCATATGGTGCCATCTATTAGCATTGTAACAATATAAACTCGTAGTTCATGGAGTTTCTAATTCCATTGACGCATTCTGCAGGAGAAAACGCAGGCGCGCCACTTGTGTGTGTGTGTGTGTGTATATGTATGTGTCAGTGTGGGCGGGGGCAAGTATATGCGAGGGATCTAGAAGGACTGGGACTTCCTTTCAGTGAATGTAGTTGTGGGGGTGGGTTAGTGCGGTTGAAGTGATTTTTCGGTAGGTAATATTCCAACGACACGACGAGTTTTTAGAGTCCTTGAACTTGTAGAAGAAACTAGTGTGTTTGTGAGATGAATAATTTTATAAGATATTTCGTGGTGTATCTTCTGCCAGTTCGGGAATAGCCAGAAAATTACCGAGGTTACGCAAGAGGTGGTCCAAATATATCGATCTCACCTGCAAGAACGTTTATTAAGACTTATATTTTTACCGATATTGATATATAAAGTATCTTGAATTTGTATTTTGTGCTTTATAAGTGATGTGCTTCTAATAGTTAATTAATGCGTTTATGATGTACGTTGTTGCATGTCATGTAATAAGACATACCTGAAATCGTCCACAGGTAGTGCGTAGCGAGTCGAAACTTTTGTGGACAGTTAAAATAACTGTAATTTAAAAAGAATGTTGTATTATTGCCTAATATATGGTGTATTAAAGATGTTTCTTTTTTTTTTTTACAGTTTGTGATAATAACTTTCTCATTTTCTAGACGTGCAGACATGTACCGAGCAAGGACAGTTCTGACAAATTTAGTACCATTAGCGTCTCTAATTCCTCGTGCAGCACCAGATAGATTTGCATCATGGATTTTAAAATCAGATCACATTTTGTGTTCAATAACTGGAACAGATATAAGACATTACAGTTCATCAGTAGCCACCGAACCCTTTCTAAATGGCAGTTCATCAGCATATGTGGAAGAAATGTATAATGCCTGGTTGGCAGATCCTAAAAGTGTTCATGTGGTAAGGTCTAAATTTTAAGAAAGGCTAGTTCATTTTTGATTTTTTAGTAATATTGTTTGGCAAAATGTGAAGTTGAATCTTCGGGTTCATATGATCATATGAACATTGTATGAAAGAAGCTTCCAAAGGTCGTTGTTTCGATGTTTTCAAGTTTTCTTATTTAATATCTTTCTAGGCAATAGGTTACAACTGACTTCTAGTAAGTTTTCAGTCTTGAATTAATTTTATCTCCATAAGTTGGTATTATAGTAAAGCAACACTTCAGTTATTCTGTCTCATCTTAAGCAGGAACGGAACCACATTTTAGTGTTTTCAGTTTGACATAGAGGCATGTTTGAAATAATAAATATAATTATTGATGTCATTAAGAAAACATTTTGTTTATAAAATACCTTGTTCTTGGAGTTATTTTCTTAAATTTTACATTTACTTTAACCAGGGTTTAATCTATTTTTCAATTTTTTTTATGAACATTATCCTGTTATTTTATTTATAAGGTTTTTAATGTTTCATGTCTGATACCTTAATTTGTTGTGCCTTTGAAGTAAATTCCCAGTGAAGAAAGTTAATTTTTGTGTGGTCTCATGTAGGATTTAATTGTACTTCATTACTTATTTTGCGCATCTGTATATGCTAAATTAGTGCATTTTTTTTGGTTTCTTTTATATTGTAAACAACCTTATACTTTTGCAGTCTTGGGATTCCTTTTTTCGAAATAGCAGTGCTGGTGCTGCTCCAGGCCAGGCCTATCAAGCTCCTCCTTCACTTGCTGAGCCAGGTAGAAACCAGTTACCCATTACCAGCCTTGCTCCATTATTGGGTGCTGCTGGAGCACCTGCACTGGGTGGCCAAGTAAATGAAAAAGTCATTGATGACCATTTGGCAGTGCAAGCCATCATTCGATCCTATCAGGTACAGTCTAGAATAATTACGTAATATGTTGGTGCTTTACTTGTTGCTGAGGAGACATATCAATTTTGTGAGTGATTTCCTAAAGTTAAAATTGCCTATTTTTTTAACAGTGTGGTTACTTAAAAAACTTAGAGAATACTGTATAATGAGAATTTGTGACTTTCAGAGGAGTATAAGTGTATTAAAGTTATATTTTTTTAAAAAATTAGAATGAAATGTTTCTTTTTTCAATTTCAAGATTTGAAAGGAAATTCACATTTTGTGGTCACCTGATACTGAAAAAGTTTTCCATCTAGCACTAGCACCCAAAGCACTTCCACTAACACCCAAATCATGCGTAGAATTTTTTCCAAATTGAAGAAATCTCTGTCCATCTGGATCAAGTCGAAGCTTTGAGTTTTGAAGAAAATTCTTTAAAATTTTGGTGTACTGTACTTGAAGCCCCCTGGCCATTTTCAAATCTTTCTAAAAAATGGCTCTAAATTTCTTGATGACTAGAATGAAATATGCTCATAAAGGTGAAATAGTTCCTATTTTGACAGTTATCTCTGAATTTTTGAAATTTTCAAAAATAGGAATTTTTTCCAGCATCTTCCTACAACTTGCAAATTGCAGATAGACATTTTTCCTTCAAAAGAAGTGTGTTGTCCATAATTAGTTCTTTTATTAAGGTTATTTTTTGAAAATTTTAATAAATTTCGTGCATTATTGTGAGCAATGTGTTAATAAAAATAATTATAAAAACAAGATTTTCTCAAAAACCGCTCCAAATTTTTTCTGTAAACTTTTGGTATAGGTAGTGCTAAATGTGCTCTATAAGATGACATAAAAATCTATTTGCTCTATTCTTCTGTTATTAAAAAATTACCAAAATGTATTTTTTTGACATCTCTCTCACATTGTTAATATTTGCATTAGTGGCAATTGGTCACATTATTATATTTATGAGTATATGTGCTTTAAATAATGACATATAAAGTTTCTTGAAAACTCAACTGTTTTGTGTGAAAATTATCTCAAAATTCCCCATTTTTAGAAACACTTAAACACCATTTTTTCTAAAACGACTCCAAATATTTTTTTCAGACTTTTGGAACGGATAGTGGTAATTGCATCTCTCTTTAATATGACAATGTTTGGGGTATTTTGTTGTTGTTTTTTCAAAAATTACAGAAATGTAAGTTTTTGAAAGATATCTCACGCTGTTAATATGCACATTTCCAGCAATTTGTAAACACTATTGTATTTGTGAGCTAATGTGCTTCCAACGACTTCTAAGGAAGTTTTTCGAAAACTCAAATTTTCTGTGAAAAAGATATTCAAATTTTGAATTTACAGTAGGGTTTAAGCACCATTTTCTTAAAAACAACTAAATTTTTCTAAGGAAATTGCCATCTAATTTAATGTCTTCTAATAAGGATGCTGGAGGAATGCTTCTGTGATTGCGGGATAGAATGTAATGTTATCTGAGCACATGTGGTGGATCAGATGGTAGATATTAAAATTTTTTATATAGTAATGGAGAACCTTGTCTTCTAAATACATTGGATAACATTTGTCCAATAATTGCAGAATTAGGTTTTCACTTTTATTGTATTGTTTATAATTAATTTTTTATACAAATTAATAAATAAATAAAAATTGATAACTGTGTGGTTATTCTCTCTTATAAGTAACGCATTTTTACAGTTTTAACTCAGTGTTGACTATTATAGAAAACCGTAGAGTTTTAGAATCCTCTAAATCTTGGTTGCTCCTAGTAACTAAAGAAATAGGCCTATGTTTTTCTAGAATGAAGTTTGCAAGGTATGTTATTCCTACCTCCTTAGAAGTGTAATATTGTCCAGCAAAGTGGTACGGTAATGTAGAATGTTGGTGAATATATTTGGACCAAGAACTAGATTAGAAAATTTTTTAAAGTAAAAACTGTTTCTTCTTCTTCTTGCTGTTTTCTTAACCGCTACTTCGGTCTTCCGGTGCCTAATCTTCTTGTCCAGCCTTCCCTGTTCTTCCAAGAATCAGGAGGTAATTTCCACTTCTTGATTAAAGCTAAAATTAAAACTTCTGAAAATAAAGAGGGCGGGGAACTTCAATTATTCTGATAACAAAGGTGGAAATGAAGAGCAGAAGAAGCAACTGAAGGAACTGATGCAAAGAAGTGCCTATGTATTCACTGCATTGTCACGTAGAAAACTGATGTGCATCTTAGAATGCAGAAATAAAAGCCATGTTGAAATGTTGAAAATTATCCAGTTCATTATATTTTTCTGTTTGTTCTTTGTTTTTATTGGTAATGTGTAATATTTTTATAACTATTTTCTAATATTAATTTATTTAAAAATAACATAAAAATAGAAAAATACCTTCATTGTGATGATGTTTACAACCAAGGTCATAAACATGTGTATTTTAGTAATAACAGCTAAAATATATTAATGTCTTAGGTATAAAATGAGGAAATATGAAAAAAATTGATTCTTTGAGATTAATACAGTCAAACAGGTTGAATGTTTACCAATGTACTGTGAAACAAAATAAGAGGAAGGTTAGTGATTTTTTTACTACTTATGTATCACTGGGATTAAAATTAATGTCTTTCTTACATCAATGGCTCTCCTATTTTACGGAGAACGCTTGTGTGTTTCTTTTCTTTTGAATATAAAAATTATTTCCAAGTTATAAATATTAAAAATAACCTTAGGAACCATGTGCATACGTACAAATTAAATAAGATAGAGCTAACAAAAATTGTTATTGTGCTGTGAATTATGCATCATATTCTTTAGGATAATATTCTCAATATTGTTACTCTTGCTATAAAATATACTTCAATATTGTACTCACATCTGTTAATATTTATATATTGTACTTGCATTTGTTAATACTTCAATATGGTGCATACATCTGTTAATTCTTTAGCTTATTAATATTACTATTAATTTTTTGATTGAGAAGAATGTATTCCTCCTACAAAAGTGAATATGATTAATAGTGATAAAACATTCAAATTCTTGTAGAAAGTTTTTATATCTGTATTGTATTTGAGGACATTCAAGTGTAGTAAATATAGAGATATGGTTGTTTGATTTTGCATGATTTCTTCTTCTTTTTTTTTTAATATTGCAGTTGTTTAAGAGTAATGAGTGAATTATCATTACTATCCTTTTTTTTTTAAATAATTACAAATGTTTTTGTTTTGTGCAGAGTTTTCTTCAGGTCCTACTAAGAAGTCATAACATAAGGGAAACTCATGTGTCTGGATATTAAATGCAACCTTTCTTAAAGTATTTGATGTTTAGACATGTGCAAAGAATTTTGATTATCAAATTTAGAAGTAGAATGCTAGTGATTAATTTATGATTATTGTATGAGGTTGTGTTGAACAGTAGTTCTTTCCATCTTTTTGTTTCCCTTTTTCAGCATGTCATAAGAATTAGTAGTGAATATAGTGCTTTAAGTCTTGAGTTGTGTAATGCTTCAATGTGCTTCAGGCTCGAGGCCACTTGGTGTCTGAATTGGATCCTTTGGGCATTATGTATGCAGATCTACACAGCACATTCTCAGATCGCAAGGGGAAGCCTCATGAAATAGTGGTGCGGAAGTACATGTTGGGTAAGGGGGTTTTGATTGCAATTTCTCGAAACAAACTATTTAAATAGCTTATACAAGGAGTTAACTTAATTTCCTAGTTTATTTTAGTCAGGGATTTTTCGTGGATTGGAAATTTAATTGATTTTTTATTGGATTGGAAATTTAACAAATTAAATGCATAAACTAAATTAAATTAATTCTGTGATTAATAATGGCTCCCCATTTGCAATGTGATGTGCTTATAAATCATAAATTTTATTATTGTGGAATTACTGTTGGATGATAGGTACATACATTATATATGGGGTGATGCATTAGAATATTAGGTGAAATTCAATAAAGTTATGTAGTAAATACAATAGAGACAAACATTGAAATGCAAATTCACTATAAAACTAGTAATTTATAGCTAGATATTGAAATTTGTAGCTGAAAGATGAATTTGGTCTTGCAAATGCTCTGTATTAGTGCCTTGAACCATGTATAAGAAATAAGTAAAGGAAAGTGCTTGTTACTGGGCATTTAAATTGTAGTTAATATTGGCTATTTAATTATCAGTGAAGGCAAGAAAAGAATTCTATTTTCTCACATCAGTATTTGTAGATAAATGTAAGGATTTTGAAGTGGCTTTTAGAATAAATAATGTGAAGTTTGAAACTCTTAATGAAATGTGGCCAGCCACACTTAGGTTTTCTTTTTGTAATCTTATATTACTTTGCTAATTATTGTGTTCATGAAATTTAGTAGCTAATTTGCATGCTCTGTATCAGACATTCGCCATATTTTTTTTGAATTATTTTTCTTCTGGTTTTTGTACATAACCTCTTATTGATTGTATGAATTTTTACATTGAATTGAAGGTGGATAATTGAGAGATATACTTATTATTTCAGATATAGGCACGTGGTGCCAATAAGAATGTTAAATGTTATAGTTTATTCTTACTTGCTTTATTGAAAAAATTGTGAACCTAGATTCTTTCATTTTCTGTTGATATGCTTCACATATTATATATTTATTTTCTGTGTCTTACTTTGCTATTCACTGCTTGTAATCATAGTGCAATAGGCTTGTGATTTTACCCCTTTGATAAACTATTTTCTGTACAAATGCAGAGTAGCATAGTATTATAGTAGTATATATTCTATTAAGTATTGCATGAATGTGAATAGGAAAGATTTGATAATTATATATTATTTGAAGAAAGGCTCTGGAAAATTAAATTTGTCACATATTAATATAAAAATATATTAACTTATTTTGGTCAATGTTTCATATTAATTTGTTTAGGTAAAATAATTTGTATAACTTGTGTAACTGTAGTGATAATGAATACTTGATATAAGTATTCATTACATTTTTAATTTTCATTATGTTTGCACTTTCAACAGCGATGATCATGAATTTTTGAGGCCTCTACTTACTACAAAATGTAGTATTATCCATTACCAATAATGTTTTCTATAATTAGAGCTCTGTTTGTCTGCAATGAATGTGAATCAAATATGGAAGATAAGTGAAAAGTTCACTAATTAATATTCATGGTAGAATATCTATTTCTTCAATGTATTGACAGACATAAGTTTATGAAGGGTAACTTTCTTAACTAAAGGAGGAATTGTATGAAAATGATAGTCATTTCAGTTTTGGTAATGTATAATGTTTTGTGATAAATTTATCAGCTTTTGAATTGAGGTGTAAATCATCTGCATTATTCTTCTGTAATTTTTGTTTGCATTGATGTAGTGTGAGATATGTTGAAAGTGACAGACAAAACTATCTATGAAAACTTTATATAAATTGGTAACACTGTTCAAGATTGGTTTTTTTAATTTGATTCAGTTCAATTCAAGAATAACAATTTTTAATTCTGTATATACTATGTCTTGATTGTTATGAAATTTCAAAAACTGATAATAATGTCCCTCTTTTCAGTAATACTACAGAGCATCAATACTATACAGTAGTAATTTATTTTACAGTATTCAGAAAAGCTGTATTAGTGGTGTGCGTTCGTGTGTGCATATTCTTTATTTGCTACTGCTTCTCCATTCAAAAAAACCACAACAAACAAGCAAAAACCTAAATTAGGGAATTGTGTCAATTTATGATGGAATAGTAAAATGTAATAGTACTATTGATATATTCGTTATAAATACTTTCTATATTCTGGTCTAGAGATGTTATGTTTAGGTATGCAAGTTTTTACAGTGGGTGTAAACATTTTTGTGTTTGAATGCCTAAATGAATGTATGTGAGTAATTCTTATGATTCTAAAGAGTGTGATGATGTTGTTCAAGATTATGAACTTGTTTTCCATGTGCGATCTTTAAAATCCATTTTGTTTTTTTCTAACAAGAATAGATTTTTCAGTAGGTGGTACTTCAATAACATCACTTTACATTGATCTTCCTGAAAAGTTTGAATGCGTTATAAAATCAGTGTTTCTCATTATCTAGGGTGTTCTTGGAAATTAGTTTCTTTGACCTACAAATGTTTGATAATGTTTACCGACCGGATTTGTCAAAGCAGATAAATAAGTACAGTGAAACTTCTAACTGACATGTCCCTGAAGTGGACATTTTCACTTTCGCTAACTGGTTTGTACAGATTTTAAAGTTTCTGTAATGTTTGTCTAGCAGATGTTCTTTCTAATGGATGAGGATAGGCAATAACCATCAATTTATTTAGATTAGCAATAAATTAGGTTTCCCTGAAATACTCTGCAGGTGAGCTAATGCCCCTTCTATGAATTTCTCCTCTACAAATTACCACAATTGTATTCTTAAATTTTATTTCCAAATCTCAAAATTTTGCGCAGGTATTGCCATCACACTTCATTCATTTTCAAGAATTTTAAAGCACCGCTTTAATTTCTGATGAGATCAGTGGGTGGGAAGAGGTCTGACTGGTTGGTCTTCTGTTTTACTTTTTCTTTTCCCTTTCGAAAAGTGTCTCACTCTACCTTAACTTTGAGAGTGTATCTTGTGCACAAAAAAATTATTTAATTGTCACCATAGATATTAATTTCTCATTGATGAGTGTTTCTTTTCTCAGAATTTTTGTCAGGAGACAAATTCTCATTTCTCATTGCTGTCCATTGAAGAGAAGTTTCACTGTATTACAAAACTCAAAACATATATGTTTTTTTGAATAAATAGTAAATGGCAAGAGATAATGTATACATAGTGACAATTAGAAGTTGCAAATATTTACTGAGCTATTAAATAATCTTGATTGAGGAACACTTGTTTTTAACACCATGTGTGCATGCTATAAAAATACTGTTTTGCCTTTGTATTGTGTAAAGTTTTAGAACACTAACTTAGAAATACATAGAAAAATAACTTAATTTTGTTAGTATATGCTTTTTAATATTTGATTTGTGAGTATGATTTAAAGTTGCACTAAATATTGATCGTTTTGTGTTTTTGTGAAATTGTTTTCTTTGTTAAAAAGGTTAACAAAAGAAGATTCATCTTTTATATTTCACATGTTCTGGTTTTTGTTCTAATAGTGTCATGTTAATAGATTCGGGGTCACCACATTGCCAAGTTGGATCCACTGGGAATATCAAGTGCAGATTTGGATGACAAGCATCCACCTGAACTCTTGTACAGTCACTACTCCTTTGGTAAGATTATCAGTGGTGAAAAAGTTACGTTATAAAATTATTACTATGTTTTTAAGTCTTATTCTATATATATTTATATATATTGCTTCTCTGCTACTAAAATTTAATTATACATGTGCCAACTTTGTCTATTGATAATGGTTCTTTTCTTTGTTAATGTTTGGAATAATAGAAATAAAATTAATTTTTAACAGTAATATAATGTGCATATAACCCATTCTAAAGACTTGTAAAGCAAACTTCTGGTTTTATCAAAAGTAACACATTTCTCTTTTTATCTGCTCATGCTCTCAAATTAAATGAAGTTTTAGCTTATTTGTTCTAATTTATTGCATATTTTTATGCCTTATATTAAAAATGGCATGAATTTAAATTGATTTCTGTATTGGAGGTCTAACTTGTTTCTGTGTCTATAAATAATAATTGGTTACATTTCCACTTATTTTTCACAGCAACATTTTGGGTTCTTAATTATCAAAACTAGCTAAATATTACTGATTCAAATTGGATTTAATTTTTCTCATGAGCTACATGTTTGTTGTTTGCACAATGAACTGGGGATAAAATACGTAGAATATCTTAACGGTAGAACATTTGGGTAGGAAGAGGTTGATCTGTTCAAATTTTTGATATTATTGCTTATGTATTATTCGTATAATAATTGTTGCATGTTGTGTGAAATCTGCATCTCTTTGATAGTTACAAGTTGAGAATGTTATTGTACGGTATAAAAAATTTTAATTTTGCATTTAAATTAGCTAGTATCTTGTTATTCTCAGCATTTATTTTTGGCTTTTGCAACTTCTGTTTGCACCTTTTATTTGCTTTAGAACAGTGCAAGTGATACTATCTTTATATGGATGTTCACTTTTATCCGTATTACCAATGCTTTTTTTATAGTTTTTTATTTATTATCTTCCCTATGTGGATTTTAAATAATACTTGACTTTGATAATAAGACTTCTATAGATTTTAGTTTAAAAATGTCAGTTTTTATTTATCATCACCAATAGTGTGTACTTCACATGAAATACTGGGTGAGCCTGCATTGTCTTACTTCCTAATATGCCATTCCAGCTTTTGTTGTAAAAATCTAAGATAATTTTTTTATTAGCCAACTGCATATCCCATTAAGGGCAAGGGCCTCCTGCTCGCGCAGGGAATTATTAATCCTTCTTTAATGACGTGATTGGATGATGATGATGATGATGATGATGAAGATGATGATGATAAAAGGTGAAGGGACAATCACAAATACATCAATGCCTGAGGCAGGATTCGAACCTGCAATCTGAGATTGCCATGACACTACTGCCTTCACGATCTTGGCTATCGAGATCAACAAATAACTAAGATGATGACGGGGAAAGAACAAACAAGCAACATATCCTGAAGATACAGGATTTAAGAGCTAAATCAAAATGTTTATCATGTTCAACTACAAATGAAAGAGCAACTATAATAATGATCATTAGGAACTAAAATTTATTGTAATAAAAAATACATGTATTCATATTTTCCAAAATATATAGGAAAAAATAGAAAATAAATGAAATAAAATTATTATAAAATTATCAGAATGTCGCTGATCACATCTTAAACTGAATTGAAGAGACTGAAAGAAAGTTCACCTCAACAGAAATAATTGTAAAATTTAAATATAAAATATGTTCATAGTATTCAGAGTGTTGTTTAAGAGGAGTTGGGGCTCATCTGAATAATAAATATAAATGGAAAATAAAATGGTACGAAATGTGTAGACCAAAATATTTAAAAATATGTAAAATAAAAATGGTTCCAAGGCAGGTATCTTGTTCCTGTAAAACGATGTATTTACATGAAAATCTGTTCCCTAATAATCATCATTGCTTTGAGCTCAGAGCCGGCATAGCAACTGACTCTGACTGGAGATCCTAGATGAGGGATTGAGTCCTATTGGTGATGGGTTAAATACAGCCTGTGCCTGGAGGAGAATCGTAGCATACATATTTTATTTTTTAAATGTAAACCTAACAAACACCGTAATTTTTTTTTTTTTAATTTGGCGATGGTTTTAATTCTCATTGCACCTAGTTTTTCAGTTTTCTTGAATTCATTATCAATTTTCTAATTTTCAAATGTTGACATGATTTATTGAAACCTTTAATAATCATTCAACTATGTAGAGAAAGGGTGAGATGGGGATTCTGGGGTTTAAGACACCTTGCACAGATTATATTTTTCCCCCCATACGTCACATACAGACTTCACTGCATTTTTGACAATATATAAAAAAATAAATATCTTTAAGATTTATATTGAAATTACCTTCATCAAGTGGAAAATTTACTCTTCCATCTACCAATTGTAACTACTATAGAAAATAAGTACCGTATTTTCTTGATTATAAGCCGACCCCAAGAAATAATGTGAAGAAAAGGAAATTTATTTAAACTTAGAAAACCTATTTGATTCTTAACACACTCCGACCACTGATTTCTATCCATTTTAGAGATCATTGACTCAGACTCCGTCATCAGACGATTCAGATTCCTCACTTGACTTTCACTTTTGTCAATGAAATGGAAGTTATCTTCGCTGCCGCTAAGGGCTTTTGAGATTGAGCACTTTTTAAAAGCCCTTGCGACAACTTCTCTAAGAACATTCTTCCAGGATCATCTGTCCAAGTGCACATTTGCGATAGACCAGCCTGAGTTCACTGAAAAAGAATGGCTGCTGGGGTTGGTCCTGAGCTTGGTGGCCGGAACCACGTGTGTGTTGCGAGTAAGGCATCACCGCTTTCCCCAACTGTCTCTCATAATTTTAATCAGACAATTATATATTTCAAATTAATACATGCGGGTTTTACCTGTTTTTACAAGGGGGAAAAAAGGTTGGCTTACAGTCAGGTAAATATAGTATTGTCTGGACTTGTCAACACTTGTATGTAACATTGTTCTTCCTTTCCCTTACTGGAAAAAAAAAATATCAGAATTAATTGCTTTGCTTGCAGCTAGTAAAATAACTTGAAAATTTGGTATGTTGAAAATTCTGGCTAATTAATTATATATTAAGATTTATTAACAGTAATACTGGTTATCCACAATTGTTTTTCAGTGAAACTTTTGCCTATGACAATCTATTCTTTGGTGATCAGTATTATTTTCTCTACAGCTTTAAGTGTTACTCTTTTCTTTGTTAAACAACTATCATACAACTTCGGCAACCATTTTCTGGAGAGAGAAACAAAAATCAGGGAATTTCTCTGAATCAGGAAGTGCTCTGGAAAAGTCAGGGAAAAACCAAGGAATTTACAAAACAATCGTTAGAAATCAAGGAAAATTTTCAACGGCGAAGAATACTGATATTCATTAAAAACATTAATACAATTTTTACCTAGTTTTTAATTGTTGACAAAATATTATTAGTTTGTACTTTCTCACAGTGAAATGAGATAGCTTATAAACTAGTATCAAACGGACTTCAATATTTTCTTTAAAAAATATGAAATAAAAAATTTATTAGCCACTGAAAACCTGGTAATAGTTGGGGAAATTGGTTCCTGGAAATGAGTGTCCACCCTTTGTCTCCAAGCAGAATGCATCTAGTTCCTTCATTCATTATGTCCATTAGTTTATGTAAATTCACCTTTATTAGTGTTTGATTGTGATCATTCAATACTAATGCATATTATAACTACCAGTGGTTAAATTCAACCCGCTGGCCAAATGGTTATTAATAACAAATTCTAGTTCTTAATGATTCATTTCAAAAGAAATGTTATTATTGACATCTATAAACTCAAGCCCTTTTCACATTTTCCATTTATGATACACATGCAGCATTAACTTACATACTTCTTATTCCAAATATTTTTTTTATGCAATCGTAATTGTTTTGGTCAAAAGCGATTATTTAATATTGGACTTCAATAAATTATCGTAGAGATATGTACAAATGGGTGGCTAATGTATGAACATTATATAATATAAAAATATAAGTAGTCAGTATAGATTAAAATAAAAATAACTTTGTTTTACTTACATGATGTTGTCAAAAGTGTATGGGCCCTACACAAAAAACATATATTTTATGGAAAATGATTGAGCAACGTGAACTCTAGAGCCAGGGAAAATCATTAATCTGTAAAAGTCAAATAATTTTTATAAGCGTTTAAATTTGGAAATTTTGTCTTAAAATTGGAAAATTTGGAAAAATTGTCAATTAAAATTCTAGTTGTTAATGTATTTACCCTAGCATAAGATGATCCCCTAACTTTAAAAAGGCCTCTTGGATATTTTTGAACATTTTTAACTAATTCTTACTATATAGCCAAAATAAAATTGCAAATTGCCTGATTGACTTCTTGACGAGAATGTTAAAACTTATTGCGTGAGCTATCAGCATTTTCTTGTTCCTTAAAATCATCATCAATCGTGGTTTTTGCTACTACCCACTTTATCTTCAGAAGCATCATTGATTCTTTCAGTTTGGTCCTCCTCAGTATTGTCCTCTTGGCTTTTTAGGCCCTCCCTGAAATTTTAGTGTTCAATTTGCGATTTTAGCATTTCATCTGACACCACCTAATAATATTTCCTTCTGTATGTAGTTTTCGTCCTCACCTACTCTTGTTCATGACCTCTGATTTTTTTTAACAGTCACGTTCTTTATCAGAATGTACATGAAATTCAGTGTGTAATGTTCGTTGATTGAGTTGTGAACCGAGAACTTGTACATCTGTTCCTCTGCATTGCAGGTAACATAGGAAACAGTAGAAAGTTTCTATGTTTTGGACATTTTGCTAAGACATTATTTTTTTAATCATCCTTTCTTGTGTTTGAATGTAAAATGCCTACTTCTATCAGTGTGGATTTTTTTCATTTTTATCTCTTGCTCAGCAAAGATTCACATTTGCCATGCATCAAACCGAAAGTCCTTGTGTCCTCTTCGATCTGCACATCATGGGACTGAATCTTGGGAAAGATGATATTATTATTATTATTATTATTATTATTATTATTATTATTATTATTATTATTATTATTATAATTATCATCATCATCATTATCATCATCATCAACCTTTTTTTACATAGTGTTTTTCCTGACTCAATGCCATTTGTGTCAGATTCTCTCTTTACTAGGCTGTTCAAAAAGATTGGCCTGAATTTGGCAGCAAATTCGCAGGGTATGTCAATTTAACATTTACGAGTTTTGTGACATGGAAAGGCAATGTAAAAACATGAATCCTAACCAACAAGATAAATTTTGCGTATATGAGACCATCCCGAATTTTTCAAATTAGACGTTTTGGAAAAAACTTGTTTTAGATTCGGGAAGTACATTTTGGGCCTAGCATTCTCCCAAGGATAATCAGATACTTTGGAGCTTTGTGCTAAAGTCACCAGCTTAATTTATGAAGTAATAGTAAACGCAGGAAGTTAAAATTATGCATTAAATCTAGAAATACAGGTTCAGATATAATGATGTTAACTCATGTCTTTTGTTGTCTGCAGTTTTCACGAACAAAAAGTGACAAGCATTAAATGTTGTGTATTCTCCTTAGTTTAAGATTTGTCTAGAGCATGTGTTGTTATTTGTGTTATGCTTTCGCATAAAAAATAAGAGTTAATTTGGGGTAATGAAATACTCTTGTACATCTGATATTTGCTCTCCACCATGAAGACACTTCATGCTCTCCACTTTGAACCTTAATAAAAGTATCAATCAGCTTATGAATAAAATAGAAATAATTGAATTCTTGAGATGAAGTATGAGCTGAAGGTCAAAGGATAAAAGACATGCAAAAATTCTTGCTTCAAATGCAATAAACCGGTCTTTTGAGAACATTAATTAAATTTGTTTTTTTCAAGCTGTGTCAATTCATTATACATGAAACGAAATTGCCAATTATTTTAAATAAATAAAGTTGACTCTGGTTATAGTGAACTTCTGGGGACTGACCTTTTTGGTTCACTGTATCAAGAGATTCACTAAATCCAAAGATGTCAAAATTAAATAGAATTTCTCTGCAATTATTAATTTTTATTAATAAAGTGATACGGAAGAATATACTAACAGCATGGATTGAAAATTTCAATGTCTTTATTTGGCTTTAGAAATATGAATTATTTTACTTCATACATTTTTCATTAGTAATTTCTCTAGTTCCTTCTCCAGAGTTCATGCTCTCCATACTTGATACTGCATTGTCCACTGTCTCTGAGTACTGTAATCCAGTCTTGACACCCTTCAATGCCTCTTGCATTGTTGGAACACCATCCCACTTTCAAAAGGCCCTTTAAATCACCTAATAAATTACGAGGTCCTTTCGGTAGCGGCTTAGCCCAAGTAGCTAATGAAACTGATCGTTTTTCCGCTGTGTGCGGTGGGTGTCGCCAGCCTGTGTCAGTCGCATGTTTCCTGCTGTGTACGTAGAAGACCGTGAGCTTTGTCTTGCGGAATCTCTTGTGACATCAAGCTTGAAACTGAAGCACGCAGCCGCGTATCACCAATGCCAGTTGTAGCTCTCGCAGGACATATCCTTCGTTTTCTGCAGTGAAACTGAGTGGCACAAAGTCATCAGTAAGGTCCCCATTTGCTGTCTGCTACCTCCACTTCAGGAATACTTCTTTGATTGTGACCTTTGGCCAATGAGATTTTTTCAAGCTGACTAGTGTTGCATGTTGTTGCACTGAAACAATATATTTTTATTCTTAGTATAAAATTATTTTTTGTAAACTTTCACATAACTAAACATAAATAAACAACTTCTGAAGATTCTTTCTTTAAAGTAGTATAAAGATGTTAGATTCTAAACATTTGTGTAGCGATAACATGCCAATATTCACACAGTCCATGCAAAAATCTGTTCCGATACTTATGCTTTATAAGCAAATTCTTCACAATCCAGATGTGACCATTACATTTTGCAAAACTTATAGGAGCTGAAGTGTCGGAACATCTTTGTTTTACTTTTAATTTTTTTTGTTTATAGATTAAATTAGCTACAAATTCTTTTGAAATATACTACATAATGAAGCAGAATATATTCAGTATTAATCCAGAATAAATATATTTTCTTTGTATTTAGTTACATAATTCCCCTCCCGTGCGTTTCTTTATGACCATGATAAGTAGAATTTCAAGTTTCAACAAAATTTCATAATGGTTAAGTTAGGCAAAAACAACTGAAAAGATTATTGATGAAAGAAGATTATTGAAGAAAAGTTGAATTATCAATTGATAATCAGAAATGTACTTTGTAGCAAAATCAAAACAAAACAATAAAAAACATATTGTTAAAAGTTGAAAATTACTATGGTAACAATCAACTTTTGAGTAGGCACCAAATTTTATTCTTGTGTCCGTAAGTGGACCATTGAGTTCTAGTACAAATAACTCAACAATACTTGAATAGAAAATATCCATAAAATATTCAATATAATTCAAGTTTTTATATTCTTGCTTGTTTTTTAGGAGTCCTTCCTTTGAAAAATATTCTCTTCCTACTGTGAGGAGATATGTGGAAATATACTAGGATTTATTTAACAGTGCACTTGCAACTGTTCATGGTTTCATCCAAACGGGAGCTTGAACGTCCCGATAGTGACGTCACTGTAGTGACATATAAGCTCACGATTGGTTGAAACCACAACAGCTGATTTATGTCAAGTGCACAACCAAATAACTAATACTATAGTGTCGTATTTTGGTACTTTCATTGCTGGTCATGAAGAGAACAGCGAGGATATGCAGTGCATCAATAGTTTTGATGCTGGAAAGTGCCCTCTTAAAATGGCTCAGATATTTTTGTGATTCCACTCTCATTTCGTATCTCTCAAATCAAATTGCCAAATTATTAAATAAGGATATAAGAGAATTTGCTTTTAGAATCCTTAATTTTTGTTAAGAGAATTGCATGTGCTGTAAATGTGTTTTTTCACATGTGCATAAATGCAAAGAACAACTGCATATTCATTATAAAGAAAGTTGTTAAATGTCTAAGGGATCTGTGAACAATATATGTATTTACATTTTTCTTTTTCTCTGAAAGAAGGTTGTTATGCAAGGAGATTTTGGGGAGAGTATTAGTTTTTGAGGGATTTATAAAAAATAGTCAATAAACAATTTTTATTTTTTATTTAGTTTAACTTTTGAAAGAAACAAATGCACACAGAATTTAAATAATCTGTCATTCACCTGCCACTTAAAAAAGAACTACTCAGAGGAGTCCCTTTTGTTCCTCTTCATAAGTAGCTATTTTAAAAGATCACAAAGTCTGTTATTAGATTTGTCATTTTTACACTGGATGAATTCAAGATGGAAAAAAGGCCTTACTATCAGATTGGCAATTAGGAGCTGTTTCAGCATACTCTTCGTGAATAACTTCGAAAATAAATCTAAAAACAAAATCATTAAAAAGGAGTTAAATTAAAATTAGTTTCTTATTTAACTATCAGAGTATATTAACAACAATAATTGATCATTTTGCATTTACACGAGATAATACCAATAATGCATAAAAGTCAATTTGTTTAATGAATGTAATGTATTAACTTAAAAATGAACATTAGATAGTTTAGTTGAAAACTTCTGAAGAATTCAAGAGAAAAACGTTAGTTGAAGTCAACATTTGTGCTAATATCATTTATTTATATATGTAAGACAGAGAGGAAGGATCAAATAATAGAAGTTGAAATTTGTCAAAAAAATTCATTACATTTGATTGGTAAAAATATGTACTTCACTTGTGCTGAGTACACTTTTTAAAATTTCTTGTAATTCTCTTCTGGTCCTTCAAGCTCATACTCAGAAACAGAGTTGGACCTAAACAAAACTAGTTTTTCGTGATCTTGATAACACTAAAAAATGATTGAATCTTTTTAAACTGTGTAGCTTTCAGACCCTTGTATCGTATCCTAAGAAATTGGTTATTATTGAGCATTATGTTACCAGTGATATTTAAATTTTAGTACAGTGTTGAAATCTTATTGCCAGATGTGTGTTAATCCCTAGATATCGTATTGATTATTTATATCATGCATGGAATGTTTGTTATGCAGGCAAACGTCCAAGCACTACATATTCCCAGCATCTTCAGCAGAAAGTGGCATCGATGATGGAACGTACGTAAATTGACAATGATATCTTTCATTGGAAAATAAAATTTTCCATATTTCACAGTATGATAATTCTCTTCCTTAGTTTGTTTGTATCAGTTTTAAAGTTCCCTGTCCAGCTTGATGGTCTGGACGAAATGAAAAAAACCATCCAAAATTGAGAAAGGTATTTCATTGTCACCTTGTTATGTGTGAACCCATATTGCTTTGTACAGTAGTTCATTGGCTTATTTTTTGCATCATTCCATTTAGAGCTTATTAACCTTCTAGTAGCTTAGCTTGCATGTGAACTATTTTTAATTTATCACTGCTGTGCTTGCCAGTGAACAGTGATGGTCTGCATATTCTGAGGGTTTCAAACTTCACTTAGGATAAATGTTACTTAGCTGAAATAAATTGGGTGATGAATACGAATACCATTGCTCCAAAGTTCTAGGAATGTAGGAATCGAAGTAATAATTACTTTTATTAATACTGTGAATTGATCCATATCTCACTGAATGTTTTCTGGTTCACTTAATAGAGGAGGGTGATATGGACCGTGTCTTCAAGTTACCTTCAACTACATTCATTGGTGGGAAGGAAAAGGCCCTATCTTTACGAGAAATTCTGTCCCGTTTGGAAAATGCATATTGTCGACACATTGGAGTGGAGTTTATGTTCATCAATTCGCTGGAGCAGTGTAACTGGATTAGACAAAAATTGGAAACTCCTGGTGTTATGGAAATATCAAGCGAAGAGAAACGACTCATTCTTGCCCGTCTGACTCGAGCCACAGGGTAAGTTGTCGTAGGTTTATTGATATGGATACTCCATTTTATGGTTTCCACCCACTTTCTTGTATTCATTGAGTATTTCTCTTAGGGAGGTTAAGGAGATAATAGTGAAGGTGTATTTTGTTATATGGATAAGGAGTGATGTTTTTCCATTTTACTTGGTTGACACTTAACATTTCTAGCATCACCACCTTGATATAGTGAATCATAGGCTGTCTTTATTATATCTTGGAACCTGTTTGGGATCACCTGCTCTTGTTTTCACAATTTGGCAAATACATATCTTTGCTCCCACTTCATTCAGCTTTGGGTGGCATGTCGGGCCAAAACAGGAGGAGGTGAGCACCTGATTGTAAGCCACAGTAACTTTTCTCTGTCTATATAACTTTCCCCATTCAAGGCTTTCTGCCAGAATGTTTTTGCTCTGAGAAGGGAGGGGTGAGCAGAAAGATGATCAGACAAAAGAAGAAGTCTCTTTAGTTGCTTCTCTCCAGTATGCTTAAGAAACAAAACTGTGATATTAAAGATGTAGAGGGAAGATATGACTGTTTGTTTGTATCTTAGAAAGGTTTTGGTTTTAAAGCACAGCTTTCCTGTGTAAATAAAAAGCTACGAAATTAACATCGTTTGAAATGAGAGGCTAGAATGGAAACAGGAAGATAGTGTCATGCTTTTAAAATCCCATTAAAAATTGTAGAAAAGTTATGAGAGAAAGTACTGCATAACCCTGAATATACATTATGCTGTATATTTACCAATATTTTTACACATGGATACATGGATATTGTTTTGGCCTGAATGAGCAAATCCTACTATTGACTTAATGTAGGTAATAAAATAAATGAAATGCAATTTTCAAATAATTATCAGTACTCCCTCACCTCTGATGTTTTATGTTGGGTTACCGGAATGATAAATAAGAAAATACATTGAATACTTACAATTGATAATCCCAAACAATCGTTTTAACTATCACACAACACTTATGTTCTCAATGCAAGATCAACTGGTCTTCCATTTCCTGTGAACTTGCCAAGTAGCCCATGATGCCATCTTCCCGTTTCCATAGTCTCTCATTTCAAACAATGTTACTTTATAGCTTTTTATTTACACAGAAAAGCTGTGATCTATTCAATATATAATTAGTGATCTCCACTCCTATTTGTTTTCTTCTTTTTGATATCTCACTTGTTTAAAACTGTTCACTGGGAGCGAATGAGAAGGACATCATAATTGTTCTCTTTACAGCTTAAATATATGTGATGAAAAACAGGTCAGAAAGAAATCTGAAGTATCTTGTGAATCATCATGGCCAAGCTCTTTATTTTTAAGAACAATAATAGTATAATTATTATTATGAAACTCAAGAGGGGAGAAACAACTTAATAAAAAAATAATAAAATATCAATAAGTAGTAAATTAATAATTATTGAACTTAATTAATAAAAAATAAAAATTTTATTTCCTTAAAATTACAACCAACTGACCTTAAGTGTAAATGATTAAACTTCTCATCATTTCCCAAGGCATTTACTCTTGTCACTGTAGAGGCTGCCCAAGAACAGAACAAGTGCTTTCTCTTTCTACCAAGAAAAGTAGTCACGTTCTCCCACCCTAAAATCTGAGGGAGTCGCTTAAAGAGAAAAGGATGCCAAAGGTATTTTATGTGTTGTCCAATCACCAAAACAAGATCAGGTACTCTGAGACATGGGTTGCAAAATAATGTAAAGAACTAGTATCTAGCCAATACAGTCCATTTCCAGTAGACTTTTGCTTTCTTGGATTTCGTGGGGGATATAGTCATTGTTTTAGGATTGGAAAGAAACTCCATCATCGGTCATAAATATCTTTAAGGGATTGAATTGACCTGGTGTTAATTACATAAACCATAAAAAAATTATCATTTCCTGATGGACATTAGGTTTCTGAAGAAACTTGTATTGTTTTCTAATACTTTATGAACAAATTTTGTTTACTTTTGTTGTATTTTTTGCATAATAATTATTTTCATTTGATTATATTAATTATCGTGGTTGTTAATGTTGTTAATATCTGTCCTGTTCAACAGATTTGAAGCATTCCTTGCAAGAAAATGGTCAAGTGAGAAGCGATTTGGTTTAGAGGGATGTGAAATTTTAATTCCTGCCATGAAGGCAGTAATTGACAAATCAACCGAATTGGGTGTTGAATCAATTGTTATGGGAATGCCTCATAGAGGTCGACTCAATGTCCTGGCTAATGTTTGCCGCAAGCCGCTTGAACAGATATTTACACAATTTGCTGCTTTAGAAGCTGCTGATGATGTGAGAGCTGTTTCAACACTCAAATTTCTAAATTAAGTTAATGGATGATAAATTAATTGTGTTTTTATTTAAAGGGATCTGGTGATGTCAAGTATCACTTGGGAACGTACATTGAACGTCTGAATCGTGTAACGAACAAAAATATTAGACTGGCAGTAGTTGCTAATCCTTCACATTTAGAAGCTGTTGATCCTATTGTGCAAGGCAAAACACGAGCTGAACAATTTTATAGAGGTGACGGAGAAGGAAAGAAGGTAAGATATTTTGAATAATAAATTTGAGGAAAGAATGTGCAAAATATCGATTTGTAATGCTGGTTTTAAACTAGGCCAGCGTCATTTGACCTTCAGTTAGTTGAATTAATTCTTAACATTGTTTCCTACAATGAATTTTTTATCCAATTTAGGGTATGCTCTGTGGACCACAATATTGTTTTTGTATTAAAGGGTTTTAAAATGACAACAAATTACATGTCAATATTGTGAAAAGCCTCAATATCTTCTTTCATCAGTAGAAAGGGAACTAGTAAATTCAACTTATATGATTAAAATCATTTACTTTATAGGCCAAATGTCAAACCTAATCTCAATTTACATTAGCCTCCTCTTGTGAGGTATTACCATTTGCGGGGTATGTTTGATTGTTATGCCCAATTGTTAATTGCACATGGAATTTGAATTATTTTGTGTGATGAATATGTGGTAGGTAATTCTTTTGAAGGATATGAGAAAAAATTGCCAAAATATCACCCTCCCTCTCATCTCAATCTGCCACTGGTGTGACAAAAATATTAATTTTGTTTTGACTTCAAATCATTTCATCATTAGAAGAGTCATGTGATTCATTGTGGAATAAGAAATTGTTGAGTATGATTACAGTCTTCTCATAATATAATTTTGTTTTAGGTTATGTCTTTGCTTCTGCATGGTGATGCAGCATTCTGTGGCCAAGGAATTGTGTATGAAACTTTTCACTTGTCTGATTTACCTGATTACACCACTCATGGAACTATTCACATTGTTGTAAATAATCAAATTGGTTTCACGACTGATCCTCGACATTCAAGGTCTTCACCTTATTGCACTGGTAACTTCATTACAGTAACAGTACTTGTTTCATTTCGTGACATGGCTTTGGTTATGGAACAAAATATAAGTGTTGTAGTATTCCATTGATTGTGGGTGAGCTCATGTGGACCATTATTTATTATGGTTAAATTATGTTTGCCGAAAGTGCATAAATAGTATGTAATTCATAATACGTAAAGAATTCATTCTTAATTTCAGTCATGCGAATATTTATTTATCGACTCTAATACATAATATAATAGCACAGAAAGAACAGAGATCTAAACAAATTATGTATTTGAACTTTAAATTTCTAATGTTTTCAGTTGTTGGGGGTTGTCCATAAGTTCCATATTGCAAATTTGGAGTATTTTGGATACACCATTTCCCTCTGTAATGAACCTTTTACACAAGCTTTCACCTCCCTCCCAATTGTGTAACATTTGTTCCCCCCGCTCTTTTATAATAAGTTAAAATACATTGTAATGTAAGCCAAGAATTTATCATTCAATAATGGCTAAATTTAGATTGATTGAACAGTGTAGAAAGAATGGAAGAAGAAATGAAATTCATTGTAACATTGTCCCAGTTTTACCACAAAAAAAAACAACAACTTTAAACTGACTATACTGACAGTGTCTTCTGAGGCGTACCAGAAATTGTGCATGGAAGACACATACTGTTTATTTCGGAATTCTGAGAGGTATTCGGCTTTGTATCTTTTGCTTGTATCTGAGTGAAAAACACTTTTCTGAAAGAATAACATAATTTTTTATCCTACAAAAGTCAATGAAACACATTGTGGAAAATTGGTGTTATATTTATTTACTAACTGCTATTAACTAAAATATTTATTTAAATGAAGATCAGAACTCTTCCTGTCACCCATTCAAATTCTCTGTTGACAAAAGCATAATGGTGGATATTGTGTACAATGTGCTACAAAATCATTTGCAGTAGTGAAGGTTAATTCAGAGTCCATTATGAAAGTAATGCACGTGATTTTATTGTGCATCGCGATAAAACTGGTTGGGAATTATGGTGGGGGTCTGCCCTTCATAGCCTGTCACCAGTTTGATCTGAAAAAAGTGCTTTCACGTAAAGTGATGTTTCTGACTTTGTAACACGGTGCAATGGACTGTTCACTTGAACAGCGATACACCATCAAGTTTTGCGTGAAGCTTGGAAAAAATGCAACCAAATTATTCCAGATGCTTCAAGAGAGTTGCACACAAATGCATTCCCCCAGCTTCAAGAAAACATGAATGAGCAAGTCTTGCATCCAAACTTTGTGCTCATTGTCTTCTTTTACACCCAAGGAATCGTCCACCTAGAGTTTGTACCGCAGGGAGAAAATATCATTTCAGCCTTTTATCTGGAGATGCTCAGGAGATTGAAACATAGGGTCGCGTGAGTGGGAGCTGACATCAAAGACAATCAAGCTCCACCATGACAATCCCCTAGCCACACTTTCATTGTTACTAACTTCCTGGCCCAGAGCAAAGTCCCGGTGGCCTCCCATCTCCCTTATAGTCACGACTTGGCTTTATGCGATGTTTTTTTGTTCCCCGACTGAAGAGAGAGAGCTAAAAGAAAAGCATTGGGAGACCTTGGAAAACATCCAAAAGCATGTTACAATTTTCTTGAGAGCCATTCCTGTCGAGGACTTTCAGGGAGCCTTCCAGGCAGACACGTCTCCACAAGTGAATTAATGCAGGGGAAGAGGATTTTGAAGAATTTTAAGCGTTTGTATAGGTTCGATCAATAAATCTATTTTTTCCTAGAAAATGCCCCTTAATAAAGATATACTTTTATAATGGACCTTGTAGCTTCTGTTTTTTATTTCTTTTAAAATTATTTATTTCTGTACTAGTTGCTTCCAATTACATGTTTTAAAAAATAAATTTAAGCTCTGTCAGAGGAAATGGTACACCAAGTGAAAAACCCAAAGCAGATACAATGAAAAGTATTTATTGAATGAACAACATATTTGTGGTACAAGACAACAAAAATGAAACAGCTCTACACTACTGAATGGGGCATAAGCAAAAACTTGCTGTCACATAAGGGGGCAACTCTGGACAATAGGATTGAGCCAAAGACTCCATACAACTTGATACACGACTATCAGAATTAGTTGGCAATGCTGTCTGCACCTAACGATAAAGAATGAAGGATGGAAGAACTCATAGGTGTAAACATTTTTGCCAAAAGACGGGAAGACACCATCACAAGTGGATGACATGTGACTAATTGAAGTTAATACTGTAATATACTATTTATTTATTTTAAATACTTTCTTCATAATCTAAGAGATTCAATTAGCTTCTAATTGGTCAATTTTATTTGGTCCTTTATTTAATTATTTATTATTATTTGATTGTTTATTTTATTATAGTTATTTATTTAAACAACCTGTAGAAGTCTAGGAATTTTGTTATTGAGATTTCTGAGAAAGTTTCCTTATCAATCAGGAATCTTGTGCAGACTAGGTGAAAGCTCGGGTTAAAGGTTCAACAGAGACTGTTTTGTAATCCGAGGTGAGTGCTCACTCACAACCAAATACGTGTTAAGGAGTAATTTTCAAAAAACGACAATTATAGTTACTGAATTTATATAGGGATTCGATTTTGTAAATGATGCATGACTAATATGCATTAAATACTATGAATAAACACAATTAATTGCGTTCATTTTTAACAACGTGATGCAGAAATGGGATGACTCATTTATGGTTATCGTAAATGCTTTTATAATTTTTTCTACATATGTTTTCAGATGTGGCTCGTGTGGTTAATGCTCCGATCTTCCATGTGAACTCTGATGATCCAGAAGCAGTCATGCACGTTTGTAAAATTGCTGCTGAATGGAGGGCTACCTTCCACAAAGATGTTGTTATTGATATTGTGAGAATAATTATACTTTCCTTTAAAGCTGTAAACTACATATTTTTTCACTTTTCTTGAAATGTATGAATGTAATAATGTGTTTCAGGTTAGTTATCGTCGCAATGGACATAATGAGATTGATGAACCAATGTTTACACAGCCTCTAATGTACCGTAAAATTAAAACCACTCCTCATGTTCTTGACAAATATTCAAAGAGACTGATTGAAGAAGGAGTTGTAACTACTGAAGAAGTGAAGGTAAAGTTAATTGGCTGTGATTTAATGTCATAGTGTAGTGTCACAATTTTGCAAAATTCTGGTTTAGGAAGCCTGTTCATTTACAAATAATTAATGTCGTGCTACTGTGGAATGTATTAAAGTTGCTAGTGTGTAATGTATGTACTTTTTGTGAGTTTCATTTCATAATTTTAATGTAACAACAGCTTAGTTGAAAAGAATGTTGATTCCTTAAAGATTGTTCAATAGTAGAAGATTATTTTATTTATGGAATAATGTGCACGAACAAATGTATATGTTAATGTTATCCAACAACTATCTGAAATCCGTGTTATTTCTAATGTAGAGACTTCAATATTTTGCGCATTTCAGGATGTACGAGACAAATACGAAAAAATTTGTGAAGAATCCTATTTAAATGCTCGTAAAGAAACTCATATTAAGTATAAAGATTGGTTGGATTCACCATGGTCTGGTTTCTTTGAAGGCAAAGATCCCTTGAAAGTGTCTCCAACAGGTGTGAAAGAAGATACATTGGTCCACATTGGCAAGAGAATGTCTTCACCACCTCCTAACGCAGCGGAATTTGTCATTCACAAAGGTATTAAACAAAGAAATTTTAAATGTTAGAATTTAGAATCTTGTATATTTGTTACATATAAGTGTGTATTTTGCTACTGCATTTTTTGTATTTAAGACTCTCTCTCTCCCGCTCTCCCCTCCCCTTAAAAAATTACTCAATAATTTTTTTTCACATCTCTCTCACGAGGTTAATATTTGCATTTACCGATTTGTATACGTTATTGCTATATTGAGTATATGTGCACGCAACATGGGTTCAGTTCTGCATTGTTTGCAGCCTCTGATTCTTTGACAGTTATTTTACAGTTTGCATTTGAACATTCTTGTACATCCCCATTCCTCCATTTAAGAAGTTTTGTGAAGAAAATATTTTAACATTGTGGTTATATGTGAAATGCAAAGTTTAAACTTGTGACTCTAGTTTGAAGTCGTGTATCAAAATCTCAAAAACTATTTTAATTCATTCTTATGTTGCATTTCTCTTACTATAATGATGATAATACAATGTTATTTTCTCTTTACCATCCCTACTATTGGTCTGAATTGCCCAGCAAATTCACAGTGGATGCCAACATGTTCGCGAATATACATAATTAGGTATTATAGATAGCATGATAATTTTTGCCTTTGCAGCTTATTGTTTCATCAACATTAGAGCTTCTTTTTAGCATGGAAAGGCAGTGTAAAAACATAAATTGTAACCGACAGCACTTACCTACTAATTCATACCAACTTTTTGTTTTTACATAGAGATTTTTAGAAAAAAGCATGGTCTTATATTGGGGGGAAATGTGGTAGTTTAAATATAATTTCTTTAACTCATTGCACCATAAAGAAAACTTAATATGTATAGTGCCTTACAGTTCATGATTTGTAACAGAATGTTTGCTAAACCCTTTTGTTAATTTCCATTTTTGTAATTTATCATGGCCAGAATTGTTAATCATATAAAAAAATCCTTTAAATATATAAAAAATAAATAAAATGATTTTAATCAATCTTCAAAAATTCAATTATGACAAACAAACAAATTCAATAATGACAATAAAACCTCACTGCCTGCCTTACCCTGCCACATTCACTACGATAATTGTTGCTATCATCCTGAAAACTACCTACCAATTCAGAAGTGTGGGGAAAACATAATTGAAAATTGAAAATGTGATTTCAAACTTCACTGAACTGCACAATATACTGTACACTGCACTATACACTGCACTCCAGGCCTGCATAACGCCTACTCCAGTGGTCATTCTGCACGTAAGAGTCAGCCATCTGCCCGTGAGAGCAGCGAAAGTGCAACTAGTGGGGAGAAGTCATCTTTGCAGGGAGAAAAGTTGGAGAGAGGTCAACACAGCACATAGATTGAATGCCTGGGTGTCTAATGCAATGATCTGTGCAGTGAAATGTTTTGCCCACTTAGTTAAAAAGGCAATCTTCCATATTTCTAGCTGCAAGGGCCATATTTCACTGTTTGTGTTCTTCTGCGTACTGCTATTTACCGACAAATATTTATTTTTATTTTATGCTTATTGTAACTTATAAGCAATATTTTAGAGTAGTGGTTTCTTTCAAAAATGTATTGTGTTATTTTCACTTACAAAAATGTGTAATTTAAAAGTTGATTTTTTAACAAGAATGTAATAATCTCTTAAGTGATAGAATAATGAGAGAAGGCAGTCTCTCACATCGAGATCGATATAAAAATGAAATATATGCATTTCCAAGAAGGATAGTGTTTGGCATCGCATGTTTGTGACCATTTTCTCTCTTTATGGAAGCTGAATAACAGGTACCAATGAGCAACCTTCTTTTGTTATATTTTATGGGCAATCATGAAATTATCATGAGTTTTGTTAAATTGAACACAAACAGCTTAACCCATTTGATACAATGTATACGATTATGAATAAATAGTGTTCATTGATTTGAAATTAAAAATATATAATGTAGTATTGTTGGAAATTAGAGAATTAGAGTAGAAAGTAAACACGATTTTTTAAGAATACGTTTTTTAGCTTAAACCAGTCTTATACAATTAAACATAGTTAATGAAAAAAATAATTTATTAGTATCTTCAAACAAAAAGGATTCAATATTATAATTTTGAATGTAGCAGCATGTTAAATTTACGATTTCGTCATAGCAAAGCAAATTACATTTTGTGCCCTACAAGCAATTATAATACGAATGGTGTCCATTGGGGGCTGTCACAGTCTCGCAATTGCTCTTTCAATTTACATGCTACGGTTCTAATTGCGCATTCTCATTGGCAGTCCCCACTCCTAGAATAAGTCTTATCCCTACCCTTCCACGCGGTCTTGATTGTCACTCAAGTTACTCAAGCACGGCTCATGGGGTCAGTCAAAGTGCAAAATGCTGTGCAGGCATGCTGTACACAAAAGATGTGTTGAGACTTTGTTTCCACGGTACAGCCAACTGGTTACTTACATCTTCACCAGATTCTGTTTGATGTCGACATTTCAACCAGAAAAAAAGTAAAATATTTATATAGCGTATACAAATATGTAGGTTACGCATGGAGTCATTGGTGACTCAGGTTTCAAGCAACGCCTTATTTGCTGAGTTATATTGAGTAGTTCTTCTGGAAAAAGAGATGAATACCTAACACATTTTAGAAATAATATATATGATAATTTTATCAAAACTTCATGGATCCTCCAGTACATTATGAATCTATGCTTGATAAAAACATTATATCATTTAAATATATTTGAAGAATTAACATTTTAGTAATAAGAGATTATTTTGCAACTGTTTAATCACAAAAAAATTATTCTAAACTTATAACATAAATCCTTCCTCTTTGGTATCTTTTTAATTTCCATTTTGATTCATTCCTAAATATGTCTATTTAGAACTCTTTATTATATTTGTCTCATTTTCTTTCATCCAGCGTTTAAGTATCTATAAATATATAGTCGTGAAGGGTTCTGCGTTTTAGTGCCATGGGCCTCCTGAAGGTTTTTCTTTCATTATGTTCTTAATTATATCACTAATTTTTTCTGTGATAGTTGCAGTGCTTTATTATCAGTATTACTTTTTCTTCTAAATTTAAAGGTATTGAGCGTATCTTGAGATCACGCATGGAAATGGTAGAATCACGTACTGTGGACTGGGCACTTGGTGAAGGCATGGCTTTTGGATCTTTACTGAAAGAAGGCATCCATGTGCGTCTTAGCGGTCAGGATGTGGAAAGAGGAACGTTCAGGTAAGTGAGATAGACGAATTTCATTTGGAAGCAGAAAATTAATTCAGAAGCAAAAATGAACTCTCTTTTTTAATATATATATGTATAATTTAATATATATTTAATGACTCTCTAATAATATATAAAATTGATTTTTATTATTGATGTTATTCCTTCTTTAGTTGACAGCATTGTATTCTGTTGAATTCTAATAAACATTAATAAATTAAGATTAAACGCACGATTAATATATCAATTAATTTTTTAGTGTAATTTTATTTACAGCCATCGGCATCATGTATTGCATCATCAACTCGTGGATAAGGCCACTTACAGACCATTGTGCCATCTGTATCCTGACCAGGGTCCATATACAGTATGCAACAGTTCTCTGTCAGAATTTGGAGTTTTGGGTAAATATATTTCTAGTAAAAAGATACTGTAATTACAGAAATTGGGATTTGCCAGTCCTATGACACATTTTGATAAAAATTGTGGCATTACCATCTACAAGGCCTTCCGACTTCTATTTGTTATGTGGTATTGAATTTGGAAAACAAATGGCAGATGAGCATTTATTTAGATTCCTTTTAGTCAGTATGTTATTGGCACTTTTATCCTTACAACTCAGTTTCAGTATGAAGAGGCATAGGACTACTTCTTCCCAGGGCCTTCAATGCTAGTCATTATCACAAGTCATAAATAGATATCAGATTTGCTTTGGAAGTGCCTATTTTACTCTTGATGTAGGTACATGCAATGATGTCATTTCAGTACGCTTAGTTAAGAATTACAAAAGGTCATTATTATGTTGCTTAAAAATACCGGATTTATAAAATATCCAGCAAATTGGATTCGTTTTTACTTCCTTGCCTTATGAATTCGTAGTAAGAAGAGAAAGTTATGTAATTGTGTGCCAGAAAACACGGAAATTTCCACAGAAAAAACTATTACTGGGTTCTGATAACAAAAATATGCATAAATTCCATTGTTAAATTTAGGGGGGAAATCCTCTAACTCGTGGTGTAGCCAGAATCCATTTTGTGTTGTTTTTTTATTCTGAAACATCGATTGCCAGCAAAACGTCCATGTATGGTCAATATTAGTGCCTAAACCGTTCAACTGATTTTCTTCAAAGTTGATATTCCCTGATTGATCACAACAGAAGGCTTTGGGAGTTCCTAATGGATTTTTTCATTGAAGGTTTTTTTACATGAATCGAGCATTCACACGGCGCGTTGTGGTATAGTGATATGAGTTCCAACTCTGAGGATCTGAGTTCGGTTTCAGAACAAAAAAATAATTTTCTGGTTGAAAACACGTTTCTGATTTTTGTAGTAGAATAATATTGTGGAGCATTTAAAAACAGTACGAGAAAGTATGGCTTTGACAGCACTACTAGTTTGGACTTAAAATTACTACTTTATGGAAAGTAGAATTGTACTATAAATTGCTTGAATTTTATTGTATTTTATTGCAGGTTTTGAATTGGGTTATTCTATGACTAATCCTAATGCTCTGGTGTGCTGGGAAGCTCAGTTTGGCGACTTCAACAATACTGCACAGTGTATAATTGATCAATTCATTTCTTCTGGTCAGGCTAAATGGGTGCGTCAGTCTGGCTTGGTAATGTTGAATCCTCATGGCTTGGAAGGAATGGTAAGTTATACTACTGTGATATTTATTCAGTAGTTATTCATTAGCCAACTAAGATCACATTAAGAGCAAGGGCTATTCAATAGTTCTAATTCTAATTTTATCCATCTTGAAATTTGTAAATAAAGAAATCTCATAAGTTTTCTTTTTTTAGCAACTCAGTTACCCATCATTGTTTCAGTTAGTGCATTTACATGAACATTGAAAACTAGTGACTACATTCTTCTCTGAAACTTTTCTTGCTTTGCATCACCCTGCCCAGCATTTCACATCCCTTCACTTGAATAGCAAGATTTCCTTCAGAAGTTTCTTGAAAATGAATAAAAGTTAAATGACGAATCTGCATTTTTAACACATGCTGGTGAGACCAGTCGTGAGCTTGAAGCTTGTCCCGGCTGGGGTGGTGGCCCGCTGGTGGGAGATACCTGGTTCGGGGGGAAATTGCACTAACCAATGGTAGGTCAGCACTGGATCTCTCCATCCAGCGGAGCGTGGAGGCTTACACTACACTTGTGGGACTAATGATCTTGGTAGTTGATGCGCCCGGAAAAAACTAACAACCAAACAACCAATCATTTTCGTATTTGTTTAAATTCAATCAGTTTTAATAAACTAAAAAGCATCAATACTAATTTTAGTGTAATACTGCAAATGGGTTTTTGATGTTTAAATTGTATGAAATAAATAGACCAATAAAGTTCAAGCTAGTGTTATAAAAGTTACTAAACTGTTGTATATCATGCTCTGTAAACCCAAAAAGATCATACATTTTCTCCATTTCTGCATCAGCAGCAGAACTGCACAGGGGTCGCTGCAGAATCTTCAGACAGCAGTGGAATATTGGAATCATTTACTCTGGTTATATTGAAAATACTGTTTATTTTTTTCAATTTTTTATATAAATTTTTTGTTTAAAATTTGTAATACGAATAATTGCTTAAAATTATTTTCTTTGCGTATCCTGTTTGACTTTGGAACTACAATAAATCTTGCTGAAATGTTCATTAACAATCCAACCATTTTTTTTAGGGAACTTGTTTAATTAACACATCTCTTCAGAAGAAACCTGGCTAAATGGCTGCTGCCAGGCTCGTTTTGTACATTTACCTTTAATAAGCAACCACCTACAGCAATCTTTAAAACAAGCTGAGAAATCGAAGTGATTCTGTTGATATTCTCTCTGAGCTAGGATGTATCAGATCACTTTGAAGGTTTCCTCATTAGTTAAAAGATTTGAAATTTATAGGCATTGATAGTTTTTACTTTCCCATATACATATGTATATACAGAGTAATATACGTAGTAAAGAAAAAGTTATGTAATGCTGCTTGATAAACGGCGGATTTTCGGCAGAAAAAATTCACTGACAAAGTCATTTAAAGTCACTGACAACGAAAAGTTGATTAATACAGTTGCTTCCACCAGAGGCAGAACTCAAAACCACGATCCTCTGATCTGAGATTGCTACACCACTATTGCCTTAGCGATCTCGGCCATCCAGACCAGCTCTTTTCTCTTGTTTTTTACAAAATTACAAAAATGTAATTTGTTTGGTGTGTCTTTTACATTGTTCATATTTATATGAGCGGTAATTATTAACATTATTACATTTATGAGTACATGTGCATAAAATAGGTCATATAAATTTCTTTCTTTTTTCTAAGTTCTTTTAAAGTAAAAATTCTAAAGTTCTTTTTTTTCTCTCTCTCTCTCTCTCTCTCTCTCACTCTCTCTCTTTTTTTTTCCCCTAAAATTATACAAATGTAATTTTTTGGGAGGATCTCTCACGCCGTTAATGTGCACATTTCCACCAATTTGTAAACACTATTGTATTTGTAGTTAAAGTGCTTCAAATGACTTCTAATAAAGTTTTTCAAAAGGTCAAAAATTTTCTGCGATAAAGAGCTTCAAATTTTGAATTTACTTTACTGTGTAAACACCATTTTTTTTTAAAAAGGCTCCAAATTTTTCAAAGAAAATTGCCATTTAGGATGAGGTTTTTCTGTTCTTTAATATTCTTAAAACAACATTTTTGTTTTACTCTTAGGAAACTGAAAAATTGAGAAAATTACAAAATAATGTACTTTGGGTGGTGATAGTTGGCAGCTGGCAAATGTATGTTGCACTTCCTAATAGCTTGCCAAGACCAAAGGAAATTGAAAACGAAAACAGGAAAGTCTTTGCCCATTATAGCACAACTAGTGATGAGAGATCTGTCAAATCAACAAAATATATTTCTATATATATTTTTCTTTTTTAAAATATTTTTGTACCATTCTTCTTTGTTTTTGGTGGTTTTTAGAATACACCCTGATCTCCCTTTTATTCCAAGTTCACAAAATGACTGCATTATCATTGTTTAAGTTGATGAGAAAGTTGCAGGCATGAATTGTCTGTCTGAAATGTGCAGGCATGAATTGTATATATTGAGGACTCACATAATTTTATTTAATTATTGTTGTTTTTCTTTTCTTTTACAGGGTCCTGAACATTCTAGCGCTAGACTGGAAAGATTTTTGCAAATGTCGTCTGATGATCCTGATTATTTTCCTCCAGAAAGTGAAGAATTTGCTGTTCGACAATTGCATGACATCAATTGGATTGTAAGTGTAATAGTTATCTTGTACATGTTTTTTCTTTTTCTTTTGCTGATATATTCAGAACTACATTATTAAATAGTAATGCTTGTGAGTGTTATTGGATTCACTACGTATTTGCTGATGTTGCAAATAATGGGTCGAGATTTTTTTGTCGAATCTTGTGGCAGATTTCTTTAATTATAATGCATTATAGTTTTAAAAATGTTAAAAAGAGAAATCAGCATCAAAATTGAGTTGCCTTATGTACCTGAAGACAAGACTAGGTTTGTCCCTAATTATTTCATTAAAAAATTGAGGGTTTGACTTATTTTCACAGATTAAGTCCAGTTGGTTGGGAATTGTTTTAGCAGCGACTTTCAAGAGTGTGTCAAGAAACTAATGCTGATGTACTTAGGTCATCGGCACTGGGAGGGCCAAGGGAGTTCTGACTCCACTGAAAAATTTGGAGAAGGCCTTATAGCCTTGTGTATTAAAACATATTTCAGTAAATATGTCTGATCTGAGATAATGGTGTAAATTACAGAAAAAATGTAGATACATTTTTAAATTTAGTGAGGGGAAAATGAATGGACTAATTTCCTTACACTCTCATACATCTTTGTGTTTGAGTAAATATTATTGCGTAACTTTATAGAAGAATAAGATTTGAAAAATTTTAGCCATTTCCTTCCTTGTAAAAAACTTGTGTTTAAGCCATTAACGCATTGATTCAAAAAATGCAAAACTGACCAGAAACGCCTAAAAATGCCAAAACAAATAAATGAAATCGGCCCTAAAAATTTATCCACAGTGTAGGGGTCTTTAAATTGCCCCAAAAATTCTAAAAATATTCTGAAAATTGTTGTAGGCACATGAAAGATACGACATAAAGTTTAATGGAAAAGGGTCCTAACTGCTGTTGACCTACTCTCTTCTTTTAGACTGCGCACATCAATGTTCATGTGACAATAAGGTGCCAAGGCAATAAATATCGTGAGAGCCTCTAATCCTAATTATGTGTTCAAATGTTTTTTCAACATCCACTGCAGATTTGCTTGGTGAATCAAACCAATATTTTTGAATGGACAGGTAAAGAGAGACTCCAAACGAATGACATTGTAGTAAAGGAAACATAATCTGAAAAATCACATCTAGTGTGCATCTGCATTTTGCAATTAATTGGGCGATATGCAATTAGACAATTTGGGATATAATTTTGCCTAAATACTACGAATTAAAAGTTGTAAGAATTGTCAAGAGGCCTCTTCAAAATCAGGGAGTCATCTTATGTTCAGTCATTTTATTTTCAGGTAAATAAGGTATATCGGCAAATTAAATAAAATACCTTTATAGACAACAAACAGTAGCGTAATATGTGAAGGGCTACTGAAGAATAGCAATTCAAATTACAAGGCAAAAATTGGATGATTTAATTACGAGTTGTGAGAGTTCTCGTAGGAGACCAATAGACCTCGACTAGTAATCTTGTCCTATCATGGGAAGTCACGTTGGTCCTGTGATGATATTTTATTCAAGATCTCACTTTTATGACAATTTGTTTATGTGAAATACAAATTTCATTGACGATCTTGAGAAAAAAATATATTTTTATCCATTCAGAAATTGGTACTTATTGTGCTTTCCAATTGTACTCTCAGTACTAGAATGGAAAATACGTTTTGTATGTTTCCAATTTGGTGTTTAAAAAAAACTGAACTTCCATGTCCAAATACTGCAAAACTATGTGTCACTTTCTGAATGTGTTAAATAAAAACATATATTGTTACTAATTGCTTATTAAGTTTCTAGTTATTTAATTCCATTAATCATTTTTAACTGTTTGTTTCTGTAGGTTGCAAATTGTTCTACACCAGCAAACTACTTTCACATTTTAAGACGTCAGATTGCTCTTCCTTTCCGCAAACCGCTAATCCTGATGACTCCAAAGTCTTTATTGCGTCATCCTGAAGCAAAGTCGAGCTTTGATGAAATGACTGAAAACACACAATTCTTGAGGTGATCAGTTAGTTAATTACTGTGCAACTTTTGTTGGTTAATTTAGTTAATTACTGTGAACATTTATTAATTTAAACTTAATATGTCCAACAAATTGTGTTTCAGGGTTATCCCTGATCAAGGTCCAGCAAGTCAGAATCCAAGTAGTGTGAAAAAACTACTGTTCTGCACTGGAAAAGTTTATTATGATCTGAAGAAAGCCCGTGAAGAGAGAAAATTGGAAGGTGATATTGCCATATCAAGAGTGGAACAGGTGAAGGAATATTTTTATTCGTTGTAATGACTCCATTCGTTAGTTTTGGAGTAACTTTTTTTGGATTACAAATGAGTGGGAAAACATCTTGTACTTTGTTGTAAAACATTGTGTAGTTTTGATAGATTTGTTTATTATTATAACTCTTTCTTATCAGAGAACCTTTCTGAATTTTTATAAGATAAAAACTGTTTCATGTTATTGAGGGCTGGGCATTGTTGGTGTTTTATTAAAACAACACTGTTTGTCTTTCAAATAAAAGTTGTGCTCAGTGTTGCACTGCAATTAAGAGTAAAACAGATGTTATTGATAATTTTATCTCTTGCGCAGATTTCTCCTTTCCCTTATGACCTGATTAAGAAGGAGTGTGCGAAGTATTCCAATGCTTCATTGGCTTGGGCCCAAGAAGAAGCAAAGAACCAAGGATCATGGACATATGTGCAGCCTCGATTCCACACTGCATTGAGTGGATCTAGGGATGTGAGGTATGCTTGAATGCTGAAATCCTAACATATACCTGAATTTTTTGAAAGCTACATTGTTTTCGTTTTTAAATCTCTTTTTTATTTATTTATTTTTACAAGAACATCCTAGATTAGTAGTGTTTTGTTTTGTCTTCATCATGAATGTTTTATTTCTTAGATACAATTTTTGTTTGTGAATTCATTGCATCGCATTTTGTTCATCACCTGCTTTTTTCTAATTTTTGTCTTTTGTTGTTAATCTTCTTCTTTCTTTCTGCTTCTTCACAAATTTTGTTTCATAGTTATTCTGAAAAATCTTTCAAATGTTTAGGGATCATTTATCTGGATAATTATTGAGTAGGCTTATTATTTCATTTACCAACTTTTTAGTTAAGCTTCATCTTCTTGTAATATTTCCTGTCTTTTTTTATTTTCCTACATTATTCGTTTATTTCAAGGTGCTAACAAGTTCCCAAAGTCTTGTGGATTCTTTGAGATTTTAATTTTTTATTCTTCTATTAGGTTTTATTTTTGTTTCTACTTTCTTTGCAAAATCATAAATGATACTTTATCCATCATTACATCATTTCAAAGGTGCTGGATATTCTAGTAGGTCAGGCTGTTGGAATGGTTAAAATTGTCCTGTTTTCCAGACCTCCAATACAACGGGAAGGCTTTTTTAATAAGCTTTTTGGTGGAAAATCTGATGATAATGCTACCTCCCAACTTGATTCTCCTAATACCAAGCCCAGAATAATTAGGTGAGGGTCTCTGGGAACTCTCTTGCAACATCTTTCATTGCAAATATTACGTTTTTTTACAACAGTAACTCTATAAAGTATCTTGAAGTGATGTACAGATTGTTTCATTTTGTCTTTTAAAATATTTCATACTAGATTTCCTAACAAATCAATAATATTGTGTGTTTTTTTGCAGCTATGTTGGGAGACCTACCGCAGCATCTCCTGCTACAGGAAGTAAGATGCAACATCTTAAAGAACTCAATGCATTACTGGATGATGCATTATCATTGTAAGATACTATTTTGTATGGTTTAAAGTTGTACATGAAATACTGTTTACTTTCAAAGATTTTCGATTATATTTACAAACTTTCAAGCTGGGCTTGAAAATGGTTATGTTCACCTACACCCACAGTAGTGTATTAAAATTGTAAAAATATCATAAATCCTAGTTTATTACTGTAAGTTGTTGGCAAAGTTTTGTATTTAATTTACGAAAAAATCGGAGCCTCACTTCCAGTCTCATTTTGGTCCATGGTAAAGAAATTGTTTAGGGGGGGGAAATTGGAAAACGTCAGTACCTATAGCTAAAGTTAGATCTGCTTGCAGTTGTTTTGTTGATTATTCTACAAGTCTAAAATTGTGTTGTTTTTGCTGCATATTATTTGCACAACTTTATCAATATTATCTACATTTAGTATTGGTAACTACACCATATGTACATTAAATCTATTTAAATCTATTGTTGCTTTGTAATTATTGTAAATATTAGAATGTTCTATTAGTATTGACCTAAATGATCACCTTTGTTAATACTCAACTTGTTTTCTCTGATAAAATTTGCTACCCAGCTTTTGAAATAGTTTGCTGACACAATTTTGTCATCATTGCAACAACTTCGTTATTTAAGCAATATAGTATACCAAAACTTTTGTTCATATGTTTGGGTAGTTTTTGAGAAATTATTGATTTGCTAGTTTCAAAAATTATGATGTCAGCAGCACAAGATGGAAATAGTACATATGTGGATTAACTTCTTATTGGATCTGCTGTGAATGTTTGGGAAGCATGACTCCTGAGGGTGGTAATTTATTTTTGAAAGATGTGTGTATGTGCTGTCATTAAGAAGTAAATATTAAAAAATTTTAAAAAGAATTGATTTTTCATTTTTTAAATACGAAGTTCTCATTTTTGGCTTACATACCACTTGCAATATGCTGTTTTATTGCAGCATCGTAAATATGACAACATCCCTAAAAGACATATATCAAAACCTATGTTATTCTCAGACATTACTTGACAAAGTACAAACACTAACTTCTTGACTTTCCTTGTCAGTATATAATTTTGATCAAATAGTGGTATGTGATACAAAACGTGAGAATGTGGTAGATATTATTTTAATGACATGTGAGTCCTTTGAAAACCTTTTTGATAACTTTCAATTATTCTTCTTTCCTGATTACAAAATCAAAAATAGATTTTTGATTGATTTTCTTTATAACATTGACATTGTGTTACCCCTCTCTAAGTGCATTTTTATCATCTTGCACCAAAGTAATAACGAAAGAAAAAAAGGGAGACCAAGGCAGGACACTCCAGAACATTTTTGTGAGATTCGTGTGAATCATTCCCGATACGCTGAATGTGGGTGTCTTGGGGAAGGATGACATATTTAGTACTATCTACGAACATACTCGGACTTCAAAATAGCAGTATATATTTCTTTTCTCTTCATGAAAATATTGGGAAAGCTAAACTGTACAAATTTGGTTTGCAGCATATGGGAGTATTTTCGTCAGTAAGTCAATTTATGTAATCAAAAAAAAACTATCTTAGCTTTTATATAATTATGTGCCCCCGAGTCATTGTCAGTCAGCAGGGCTTAAGTAGTAAATATTTTGGAGCCCCATTGATCAATTTTTTTAACCCAAATGTATTCATTAAACTCCGATTTTTAATTTAATATTCATCTAAATAGAATTTTTCTACTTTTGTTTATAAATGTATGACAAATTGCAATATAACTTAACTAAAAAATTAATACAATATAATTACGCATTTAACTTATAAAAAGTATACATTCATTAACACTTATGGTTTACATTTCACTATTCGTATGTATAGTAGATAAATAAAATATAACTCGTTTAGAAAATCTTTCTATGCTTTCGCTGAGCAAATTATTTTATTAAATCAAAAGTTAT